TCACTTCTTGGTAAAGGAGGCAGCTTCTCTTGCCTGTTGTTCAGGGCTGTTACAGTAGACCCCGGGCAGTATTTCCTGGTCAGGAAAAGGATGTCCTAGTTATCCACTGGACTGCATAACAAAATGCCATTCTCCACTTTGTTCTGGACGGTTGGGCATGAGGAACACAGCGGGCCTGAGCAGCTATTATTTTGGTTGTTGTCTTTGATGTGCCAAAGAAATGATGACACAAGAAGCCCGGGGCCTGGCTCAGGAGCCAAAAGCTTGTTAGTGATTAGAGAGGGGATAATGGCCCTGTGGAGTTCCCTATTGTGTGTGTAGCCGCAGAGCTGCCAACTCTGTTCTGGAGCTTTAAGGACAGTTACAGCCCCCTGAGCCAGCACCCCAGGAGCTGGGTGTGGAGAAAGCACCAGAAGAAGCTTGGTTCACCTCTCACCAGGTCCGAGTTAAGTAGTCCAGCCCAGAGTCTCCTCCTGTAGAATAGTCTCCCGTGGGTCTTAATGTCCCGAGAAGGAAGTTGGGGTTCATTCCCCTTCCAGCTCACGCTCCTACCAGGTTTTAGGCAGTCAAGCCATGGGCCAGATTCAACCTCCAGACATGTAGTTTTGGGCCCTCCTGGTATTCTCAATTTGTATTGCTTGCCAACCTTTAAAAATTTGGAGGTTGAGGGAGGGTTTCACATTTAAAAATCTAGATTTCTGGATGCTCTTAAAAAATTAAGAGATTTGGCAACACGAGACCTGCATTCCAACGTTGGCTGGAGTCGCAGAACCGCGGCCGTCATGGATCGCACACAGGCTCTGCAGCTCCCATCCATTCCCACCTCTCCTTGGCGGACCCCACTCTTGGCCAAGTCAGCAGGTCTTTCATCCAGCAGGCAGCAGGGTGATGTGACTGGAAGTGTGGGTTTTGCAGTGGTATCATCTCCTTTCAAGTCCTGGCCTCAGTCCGAGCAATGTACTCTTGGGTAAGGAACTTATCTTGGTGCCTCAGTTGTCTCATCTGTACTGTGGAGATACGACAGCCTCCCTCTAAGGACTGATGTGTGGACTATGTGGGATGCCATTTTTAGGGTCGTATAGGCAGGCCTTTGGTAACTGTTGGCTGTTGTTATTACTGTCCTGCTCCCTTCTCCCCTTACATGCCTGCCTGGCATCACAGCCACTTGAGCTTAGACTAAATTAGACCTAGCCTGTGAGGTCATGGATCAGGTGTCCTCATCTCTTCGTTGGCAGTCATCCCAGTACCTGGCACACAGCAGAGGTGCCCAGCCAGTGTGTGTGGAGTAACTGAATGAATGGGTTGGGAGCCCGGCGAGAGCAGCGAGGCAGTACAGCAGCGTGTTTTGGGGCAGGCTTGGCTGCTCTTAGGTCCTTGCTCTGACCTGATGAGTTCTCCAGCCTTTGTACATCTCAGTTGCTTATCTATAAAGTGGGGGTGACAATGGTGTCTGGCACACAGAGTAGGTAGGAAAGGACTGTGTAGGAAACTGCACATGGTTGGTTTAGTTCACCCGGGATGGTCCCCAGTGAGTGGTGGAGTCGTCATTTGACACCTGTTTCTTCACTTGGCTGCCAACTCTGAGCCACTTGACTTCTTGCTTGTTTTTCCCTCTTCTTTATCGCTTTGCTTTCTCCCTGTAGGCTGCGTTCAGGGATTTTCACTTTCAAGTCTGTAGCAGTCAAGATGCTTTTAGTTGCAAAGTAATAAATAGTCTCACTCAACTAGCTTAAGCAGTACAGGGGATCAAGAACCCAGCAGAGCGAAGACGGTTTCTCTCCCTTGTCTATGATCTGTGCCATCCTGTGAGTGGACTTCAGCCTGAGGCTACCTGCCCTAGTGGTCACACAACGGTTCTGATCTGACCAACCCAGGGATCTCTCAGGGTGTGGATTCCCTCAGGGCTGTGAGCAGCACCCTGGAGTTGGAGCTGTGGTATTAGCCACCAAACTGCAGGGCCAGCCACCAGGTAGCCTATGGCAAACCTGAAGTTTCTTGCTGAGTCTTGGTAGCTGAGATGTGCAGTGATGCTTTGGAGACTGCTGGCACCCTCTGGACTGGGGCCCCAAGCAGATCAGCAGAGACTCTTGGGTTGGACAACTTGGATCACACATTGTTAATGCCAAGTTGGCATTAGTCACCTTCCATTAGAGTCGGCCCTCAGTGGAGTCAGGAGGTCTGATCAATCTGAGACCAAAGAACAACTCTCTATCCCTGTCAGCGCCAGCAGCCACTCTTCTTATGTGCATGCGTGTGCATGTGTGCTCTGGAGAAGGATGCTCCTGTGGTCTCTGGGGCTCCTGACAAGCCTGCATCACCCCAGCTCTGTGGCCTCTGGAGTGTCCAAGTGCAGCCTAGGCAACAGATTGGGCACGGAGACCTCCCTGTCGTCTGCACACTTCCTCGGAGAGAGCTGAGCTGTGTGAGCGAAGGCAGGCAAGGCTGGCTGAGCCGGGGTAGGTGGGCTTATGTGCCACCCACGTGCCACCCATGGTCTCTGGGGCCTGAAACCACAGGGAACTGGGGGGAAAGTCACATAGAAAGTGGTCTGTGCAGTACTCTGCAGTGGAGAGTGTGTCCGTGTGTGCGTGCATGTGCGTGTTGTGTGTGTGGCCATTTGTGGTTTCCAGACACAGCTGACGGGGTGGGTTTTGGCGGCAGACTACAGGATGCTGGATTGCATCCTGATTGTGTCACCCTTGGAAGAAGAGCATGAATAAACACATAGCCTTCTCTGCAAGCACAGCACGCCTTAAATTTTGGAGATTTTCGTCTCGCCTGAAAAGAAAAAAGCTCTAGGCTGTTCTATCCTCCATTTGATCCTCAAGCTGCCAAGAGCAGGTGGAACAGAGACGAAATAATAAGGCTCTGTGTAAGGTGGGCAGATGCCCCTGGTGCTGCCGTGGATGAAGATGGTGTTCAGTGACTTATAAATGGTGGTGTTGTCTGCTGTGTGTTGGGACACGATGGTGGAGGAAGGGACGTGTGGATGTCCTGGCCTCCCCGAGCCTGCAGTCAACTTTGAGGATCTTATGGAGGAGTCGGAGAACAAGGGAGCATAAGAAAGGACATCTGATGGTGCCAGGAATGGGGTCCCTGCCAAGTGAGGGCTCTGGATTGCAAGTACTTAGGGGCCAGGTCAGAGCAGGAGCCAGGGGAAAGGTAGAGTGAGCTCTGGACTGGGGCAGAGCCTGAGTTTAGAAAGTGACTTCAGCAGTCACCAGCTTGGTGCGAACAGGAGCCTGTGAGGAAGGCTTCACACCCTTAAGGCCTGGAATGCTAGGGGTTTGGACCTGACCCAGCACATCCTATGCTCCATTTACTGTTCTTGATGAAGGCGCCACTGAGAGGAAGCTGCCCTGGGGCCCTCTTTGTTAGGTTATGTTTGCAGCCCTGGGGGAACCTGGCCTTGAGCAGGGAGGTTGTGACTTGGTCCCCTGGAGAGAGGGGGGAGGGAGAAAAGGTCAGCTATAAGAACAGAGGTTCCATTGAGAGAGGGTTGTTAGAGCGGGTCTGGGGGCAACCAAATCCCATTTTGTTTGAAGGGATATTACAGCTGCCCAGAGGGCGGCCTGGGGGCTGGGCTGCCTGCACACTCACTTGGGAGTGAGCCGGGCAAGGAGTGGGGAGGAAGTGGGCAATAAATAGAGGAGAAGAGAAGGTTGGGTTTGGTGCCAGAGGGCCCTGGTTGGGAGGAAAGAATGGTTAGAGGAATTCAGGCTGAGCAACAGGTCAAGGAGAGCTGGGAACGGAGGTGACCCCTCTGCAGAGGACTGGGGAGCCCGGGTTCTACTCTCTGGTCCTGAATCCCCTCCGCCCGGGAGCAGGATCCACATTTGTTTTAGGGCTGTCCTTATCAGTAGCTCTTGGGACTTCTTCAGTGGGCCTGTTTCCTCCCCACTCTGGAGCTGTGAGCAGAATGGGCAGGAGATTCAGACCCGCTGCCTTTTCCTGTCCTTGCTCTTTTAAGCTGGTGGTCAGAACAGAGGGTCTCAGCAGAGAAGAAGGCATGTTTCTGCCCGACATGGAGCTCTCTGTGGCCAAACCCAGGCTGGCTGAGCCTGGGAACCTTCCCTTGGAGAATAGATTTTTATCCCCTTCCCCAGGGAAGCTAAGAAACCATCCACACAAATTGGAGTCTGACCTTGACCTTCTGTGTCGGGTCCCCATGGTTTCTTTTTATAGTGCTATGGACCAACTCCAGTGGCCCCAAGCTCACTCAGGGCCTGCTGCCACCTTTCAGCCAAGCTCTCTACATTCTCATCCGGAATCCTCTGCATCAACAGCCGGGGCTGGGGTGAGGGTGGGGGCTGGGGTGAGGGTGGGAGGTGGCATGAGCCAGAGCCTGAGATCCATAGAGGGCCCTGCTAAGGCAGGAGGGAGAAGGCCTCAGGGTCGTGATGCCCTCAGAAGCCAGCCCTGAGACCCTGGTGCATCTGAGCCAGGCCCCTTTAGTAGAGCCCACATGTGCATTCCACCCTTGGGTAAGCAACGATCAAGGGGTGTACGGGTCCTACGGCTCCCTAATGGGGCACGAGTGGGAGGGTTAGGCCAGACCTGCCTCCCCTTCAGTAGGAGGGTTGGGAGGTATGGAGGAGGCTGCAGGCACGGACACTCTTCATTCTTGGCCTCTTGAAATTATGTCTAGGAACCATCTGGGATCCCCTCCTGAGCAGGAAGTCAGGTGAGCCCTCAGGGGTAGGAGCCACAGGTCCTGGGGCCATCTGTGCCAGGAAAGAGGAGACCCCAGGTCCAGGCATCCCATGCAAGTCCTGACCAGAGCAGAACTGAAAGTGCCTTTCCTCAGGTGGTTTCAGGGGCCCTGAGGCCCAGTCGGCTCCCTCTGTAGAAATGGCCAGGAGCTGGAGACCTGGAGCACTCCAGTTGTGTTCTGAGATTTGCGGAGAATTCAGACAACATTGACTCAGGTTTAACCTCCCTACAGCTTGGCCCCTCTGTGCTGTGGGGCTCACTGCCTCTCTCTGTTCCTCTCTTGGCAGAATGCAGAGCCAGAGCCCCGGAACCTCTCCCTGGGCGGCCATGTGGGCTTCGACAGTCTCCCTGACCAGCTCGTCAGTAAGTCGGTCACTCAGGGCTTCAGCTTCAACATCCTCTGTGTCGGTGAGTGTCACATCCCTGGCAGGGGCAGCCTCAGAGGATGGGTTAGGGCCTTCTGGGAGATGACAGGAGACCTTCCCAGGCAGTGATGCTCCGGGAGGAGGGGTCAGGACAAAGCTTTGGGTGGTGTCTCTGCAGAATCAAGGACAGAATTGGAGCCAGGCCCCAACTCAGAGTTGCCAGTGAAGAGTAAACAGGATTAGGCATGTGAAAGTGCTTTGTAAGCTGTTTATCACAGAGGGTTAGATTCACTTGTTTGTTTATTTAAAAAACATTTACTCCTGGTTCCTACCATGTGTCAAGAACACTGGTAAACAGAACTCTCCCTCCAGCACTGCATTGTGTAGTAAGAGCTCCAGCACACACCTGAACAAATACAGTCCCAGACAGGGAGGCTCTGGAAGATCCATACACCTCAGGACCTGGGGCCCCCAGAGGACCAGAGAGCTGTCAGCCTCTCCACAGGTGCCCCAGTTCTGGCATCTACAGGCTGTGGATAATCCTCAGGAAACAGCCTACCCTTAGCCCCTGACCCCAACACACACAGTTGGGGCTGCCTAGGGCAGGCAGGCTGAGACACTGGGAGCTTCAGACTCTGGTCCTGGGAGAGCTGGTGTGCCCACAGGCTATGTATTAGGTGACTGGGCCCCACTGACACCAGCAGAGGCCAGCGGCCAGGGGTGTCTTCACTGATGCCTGGCTCTACCACTTCCCCACTTCCTAAGGCATCTTACACACCTCACCTAGCCACATGCTGTGTCCAAGTTGGTCTTCTGGTTCTTTCTTCCACATTCAGAACCTCTGAGAAGGATGGTTCCTGGGAATAGGATAATGAGGGAGGGAGTGGGAGAGCTGGCCCTCCTTCCTATACAGAGTCAGAAAGTGCTGAACCCCGCCCAGCGAACAGCAGGGACAGCCCCAGTTCCAACTCTGACACCACCTCCCTCACACCCTGCTTCCCAGGGGAGACTGGCATTGGCAAGTCCACACTGATGAACACACTCTTCAACACCACCTTCGAGACCGAGGAAGCCAGTCACCACGAGGAATGTGTGCGCCTGCGGCCCCAGACCTACAATCTCCAAGAGAGCAATGTGCACCTCAAGCTGACCATTGTGGATGCTGTGGGCTTCGGGGATCAGATCAATAAGGATGAGAGGCAAGAGGCGGGAAGGGCGGCCCGTCTCATCCCACCCCCACCTCTGCTGGCCTTGGTTCTAAAGCTGCCCAAGATTCCTTACTCCAGGCTGTCCCTATGCAGATGCTGAGCCATGGGAACCAGGGAGGGCCTCTCAGGATATATCTGATGTCCTGAAGACCCCTTGTGGGGTCAGGAGAAGGGGTCAGCCTGCACCCAGGCAGGGATCCCCCGGCAGAAGCTGTTTACTCCCAAGGAGAGGAGGCTGGTGGGCGCTCTGGCTTGGATCCGAGCCCCGCGAGGCTCCGCCCCCTGCCTCCTCGGTGACGGAGCTGTTTGTAGTTACAGGCCCATCGTCGACTACATTGATGCACAGTTTGAGAATTATCTGCAGGAGGAGCTGAAGATCCGCCGCTCTCTCTTCGACTACCACGACACAAGGATCCACGTGTGCCTGTACTTCATCACACCCACAGGGCACTCCCTCAAGTCCCTGGATCTGGTGACCATGAAGAAACTGGACAGCAAGGTACGTGCCCCTTGCCCCTGCGTGTGCCGTGGGCCCTGTAGTCCTCTGCAGGGTGGATGCTGGAGGTGGCGGCGACTGGCCACTGTGGTCCTCAGGCACTGTGCTTGCTGGGGGCTGCAGACAACCCCCCTGACTTGGTCCTCTCTGCATTTCCTCTTGCCTCTGTCCCTACTGCTCCAACAGCCTCCTGTTGCGCTGGGCACTTTCTCTACACCTCTGTACCTGGAGCCTGACCCTGAGCCCCTTCCTTTAGGTTGAATCAATTCTTTTTTTTTTCTCATTTAAAAATTTTTATTGTATTCAAGTAATTCATTTACACAGTTATAACATTTATAACAAAATGCTAGTTTTCTGCTTCTCTCTTAGTCCAATCTTAAAGACAAATACTTAGGTTGAATCAATTCTCATTTTCAGTTGTTGGCCCTTGGCCTTCTCTCCTTCCCTAGAGTCAACCTGCTACTCCATACCCCGTGACCCTCCCTGGAGCATTCCCCTTCCTGCCTCAGCCTCTCCTCTGCTCATTTCCTCTCTCTCAGTTCCTAATTCCTCTGCTTCCTTCATTTCTCTTGGCATCTTCCTGTGCCCGCTAGGTTGAGGAGCGGCGAGGCCCAAATCGGAGTGTGAATGAGGAGTGGCATGGGGACTATAGGAAGGGTGTGCAGCCCTCCAGTTCCCTGTGAGCTCCCACATAATGACCCTCCCATCTCAGGAGTTAATTTTCACTGTGTAAAGTGGACTAACCTTGGCCTAGGAGATGTTGAAGTCCTCCTGTGAATACTGTTGATGCATCATCAGCCCCGCTTGTGGAGGACCTATGCCCCCTGCAACCTTCAGTTAGGGCCAAGCTGGATAAGGCCTTTGGAGCCCTCTGAGTCGTGGCTGGGTGGGCCTAGGGGGATTAACTTTGGCACTGAATGGTGGTTTGGGAAGCCAGGGCTGTGAGCAGTGCTAAAGCTGATTGCTGCAGCCCATGAGTAGCCACAGCCAGCTGGGACTACCCAGGGGAGCAGCTCTGTCTCTCTGACTTCCTGCCCCTCTGCCCAGATAGGTGACCTGTCAGGGAGCTGTGTACAGTCAGGCAGCAACTTACCTGCTGCCCTCTCTCCCCTCATCCTGGCAGGTGAACATTATCCCCATCATTGCCAAGGCTGACACCATCTCCAAGAGTGAGCTTCACAAGTTCAAGATAAAGATCATGGGCGAGCTGGTCAGCAATGGGGTCCAGATCTACCAGTTTCCTACTGATGACGAGGCTGTTGCAGAGATTAACGCTGTCATGAATGTGAGCATTGGGCAAAGGCCTCTGGGCTCTGAGGCCAGAGGGCTTGGAGCTGGCACAGAGCTGACACAGCCCCAAGAGACCCTCATTCCCCAGGATCCAGCCATAGCTTCTCCAGGATAGATGGGTGGGGATCTGGGAGCCAGCAAAGCCTAAGTCCTGTGCACACAGGATGGGAGGAAGCAGGTATTAGGCTTGTACTAGGGCTTCCCTGGGCTTAAATTTCACAAGATAGGGACTCAAGATGGCAACTCAAGACCTGTAGGAGTGAACAGGCATGATGCCAAGGGTTGGGGACTTGGAAGAGAGTCAGACCCACAGGTCCTTTGAGGGAGCTTTTAGTGGCTCCTGGGTAGCCCAAGGACTGAAAGAACACCCTAGAACACTAGGAAGGGCGTTTATATGTTCTTCCCACTCCTCTGATTGGAAGATCCTGGATATTTCTCCAAAAGAGAGCCAGGAAGAGAGCATCTGGCCTAGCCTTGATTAGGTCTGGGCTGCCCCTTCTTGGGGCCGAGGGGCAGCAAGGGAAGGTTTGTCCATTAGCCTGTATCAGTCAGTGCTCATGTGCCCTTGGGCCCCTTTCCAGGCACACCTGCCCTTTGCAGTAGTGGGCAGCACCGAGGAGGTGAAGGTGGGGAACAAGCTGGTCCGAGCACGGCAGTACCCTTGGGGAGTGGTGCAGGGTGAGTGTGGTGGGGAGAGCGCCTCCTTGGCTGGGAGCCCCAACTCAGTGCCTTGTCCTGCTCTGCTGCCTGTGGCCCCTGTGCTGTGTCCTCCCTGCGCCCAGCTGTTGCTTGTTCTGCCTCTGAAGTGTGCCTCGAGCACTCCGGCCACTGCTTGTGCCCTGTCCTCCCCATGCCAATCTGTGTGCCTGCCTGATGCCCCGCGCGCCTCTGCTTTCAGTGGAGAATGAGAATCACTGCGACTTCGTGAAGCTCCGGGAGATGTTGATCCGGGTGAACATGGAGGACCTCCGTGAGCAGACCCACAGTCGACACTACGAGCTCTACCGGCGCTGCAAGTTGGAGGAGATGGGCTTCCAGGACAGCGATGGTGACAGCCAACCCTTCAGGTGACAGCCTGTGCAGGGAGTGAGCCTGTCTTCACAGCCACAGCCAGACCCGCCATGCTGGCATCTGCTTCTCAGGTCTTGTGAGCCAGGCAGAGAGGCTGCTGGGATCCCAGCATTTGCTTTTCCCCAGTGCCCACCTGACTCTGCTTCTCTGCCTCTGCTCCATCCCATCTGGCCATAATCCCACTTTGGCCTCTTTTCTCTGGGTCTCCACAGCCTACAGGAGACATATGAGGCCAAGAGGAAGGAGTTTCTGAATGAGCTGCAGCGGAAGGAGGAAGAGATGAGACAGATGTTTGTCAACAAAGTGAAGGAAACTGAGCTGGAGTTGAAGGAGAAGGAAAGGGAGGTGAGTGTGGACTTGGGTGTCCAAGGTGAGGCCAAGGGAGAGGGCAGGGCCTGGCCCAGAGGTGGGAGGTTCTGGGTACCTTGCCTGCCCACCCAGGAGCCTGGGCTTCCCCATCTTCTGCTCCCAGCTTCACGAGAAGTTTGAGCACCTAAAGCGGATCCACCAGGAGGAGAAGCGCAAGGTGGAGGAAAAACGCCGCGAGCTGGAGGAGGAGACCAGCGCCTTCACCCGCAGGAAGGCTGCAATGGAGGCCCTGCAGTCTCAGGCCTTGCACGCCACCTCGCAGCAGCCTCTGCGGAAGGACAAGGACCGGAAGAAGTAGGTGGTGGGGCCCGCCCAGCACTGCACTGGCTCTCCTGGGTGCTCACTCTGTCCCACTCTCAGCTCCCTTGTCTACTTTTGCTCTCACTCTCACTAGCTCTTGCTTCCTCTCGCCCACCATTTGCCATTTGTTTTCTCTCGTTCTCACTTGCTTTCCTATCTCGTTCTTGCCCACTTTTTCATTTCACAAGTAATCTTGCTATCTCTTGATCTGGATCTTTCCTCTTGTATCTGTGTGCTCTCTCATGTACACGTAATATCCTCTCTCTTTCTCTCTCTCTCAGGCCCCCTCATAGCTGGGGTGGTGAAGACTGGGCCACCAGGCATAGACTGACCCCCAAGAATATATAGGGGTCTCAGGAAAGGCCTTTTCAGACCAGGAGAGGGACAGAACCTGGGAATGTCAGCTCCTGTTTCTCCTTGGACAGCAATGGTACTTCCCCCTTCAGTCTCCAAGGCAGTGGATGTGGGACCCATGCTGGCTGGCAGGTGGTGACTGAGAACAGCAGACATGGCCCATTTAACACTGAGCACTGGACATTGTGAACTCTGCTTGGCCAAAGGAAGGACAGTAGCTCCCTGCTGGGTCTCTGTGGGTCCTGCCAGGGAGAGGGGCTACACCGCAAGAATTGTGGTTGAAGTGGTTCCTCTGAAGAATAGACTCAGAGAGGTGGGGACAGGGTAGGGAGGTTTCTCACCTCCAGGAGTGCAGTCAGCTTATTGGCCAGGTGGGGGCAACTCTGAGCCACTTCATGTGTTTTCATACTCCCTGCTGGAGTCCAGATTTCCTGATACCTGGGTACCTCCCTTTCCCACCCCACTTCACTGAGTGCTCACACCCCATCACTGTGGAGATCTTGTCATCCCAGTCCTGTGTCAGGTGCCTCCTTCTCTTGCCAACCTAGAATTAAGCAGGTGGTTCTCATTCTTGGACTCCCATTTCCTCCTGGAGTGTGTGTACCCAGGCACTTCCTTCTTTGGTGGCTGTGGAGCCTAATGGTTAGGGCTAAGCTGTGCACAGCTCACTGTGGTCCTGGAATGCTGCTTCTGCCCTATTCCCCCAATATTGCATTTGCTAACACAGGCACACACGTGCATGCACATAAACTGTCTTTCTCTCTTGCCCCGTTGCATACAGTCTCGCACACATCTACCAACATGCATAGTCCCTAAGACATACACAGAAGCATTGACACACCTAAGGAAAAGAAGCTTAAAGGACTTCTCCCTGGGAGAGACTGGGGGGGAGGGGAACTAGGCATTTAGGAATTAGGTGCTAGTTCTCATTCTGAGGTCTCTCCTCTGCTTTGGGACAGACCCTCCTCCTTTCTATAGTCTCCCCCATACTGGTGACTGGTGGCCCCACTCTAACTGCGGGCATTGCTGGGAGAAATGGGCCCTGCCTCTCCCAAGAGGACACCAGCCTTTTCTATCCCTCATTCCTGTGAATTTCCCCTCAGCTTTGCATTTGTTTCCAGCCCTAGTCCCATGTCCAGCTCTTGCTTGGTGAGTGTGGGGCTCTGTGAATTGGAACCTGTGTGGGTTTGGAGCTAGCAGCTCAGAAATCTGGTTTCTTCTAAGAGGGGGATGTATAGGAAGAAGGTTCAAGTCCTGTCATCTAAAGAGACTTGCCCTGTTCCTTGCCACTTTGGTGAGCCCATCTTGTTAAAGAAAGGGCAGGCAAGGTCCCTTAAGGAATAAATGGAAAAATCAGTAAGGAAGTAAACACAAGGACCTGTAACCAGGTGAGGATCTGAGGCCAGCTGGGCAGGCTGCCGGAGACTGCAGGGGCCCTGGTTACAGCTGACAGATGTGGTCCCCCTGCTTTTCCTACACAGCTTGGGACAACAGGTCTTTTCTGTTTGCTGGACATGCCAAAAAGCTTCAGTCAGTTTGGCCTCTGGAAGAGAAACTTCTCTTCCCACCTTGTGCTGGTGGTGGCCACGAGTGAGCTAGGTGGGGTGCCTGAGAATTGTCCTTTTTCCTGCCCTGGTTGGGGAATGGGGTGAGTCATGATCGCACTTTGGAGGCTGGGCTGTATTTTTCATGACCATTTAACGGAATGGCTTCGATTGGTTGTACTTGTTCTTCACATTTTAATCCATTTCTGCAAAATTGCTTCCCAATCAGATCTTGATCCTCAGCCTGGGACATCACAAACCAAAGAGAATTCTCTACTTTGCTCCTGTCACAGATACCAAACTGACTGCACTTTCCCAGTGTCCATCACTCTGTCTTTTGGTTCTGTTTGATTTGGTGGTCGGCGTATCTTTTAATGTGTCTGTTTTTGTTTTGTTTGTTTTATTTTTATTTTTCAGTTAACGCACGCACAGACTTACATGTCAAGAGCGGACTGTAGACTCATGTGTTAAGTTGCTTGAGTTACACCTTGTGACCCTTCTCCCATAACATGGTGTGAGGACCGACTGGGAGCTGGTACAGACGCCAGTGTTTACAGCCTTGCTTTGTCCCTCCCCACCCCCAGGCTGCCCCAGGCCTGGGGTTCATTCCTTTCTATGCAAACACAGTCAAAGCCATGAATGCTGGAATCCAAAACTGACGAGGTTTATTTTTTTCAGAGCCAGTGGCTGGTCTTCCATTTACAGTGTCACTCTCCCTTGATGGAGCAGTTATGTGCCATTCTAGCCAGACGCTCGCCCTAATTGTTCAGCAGCAAGACGGTGGTGCCTGCAGTGCCGTCGGTGTGGCCTCGCGGTCTGGTCTACGTGCTGCGAAATTTGCCCAGTTCCCCTTCCTTTTAATTTTTTCTAACCTAGAGCTTGAGTTCCATAATAACTTTTAAAACACTTCTAAATTTTTATTTTGGCTTAGGGATAAAGACAAATAATATCCTCTCCCATTATTTTCATAAGTAACACAGAGTCCCTGATTTTTAAAAACTAAAAATATCTCTAAACCTTTCTTCTGTATAAAGTACCCATATAATATACAGGGAGAGGTGGGGAATAAACATCCTGTAATGACAGTGTTTGGAATTTCTTTACGGATGGAAGTGGAACATGAACAAGACCTCCTCCAGTGTTTTTACTGTGAATGTAAATGGAACAGCAGCCCGAAGCCATTACCTGTGTGCCCCCAGGTGCTATCTGTAAACAGGGACCAACTCCATGTGTGTTAAGTGTTTGACTCCAGCTAAGACACCCCCTCCCTGACCCCCTTCTCCATTTTCTGAATGCAAAGAGTACTCAACTGGGAATAGAGTTTTCAGAAGGTCATTGTTTCCTTTCTCATGGCTGAATCACAGGGCAAAGACAGAAAGCGTCTGACGTATGTGTGTTACGGAGCAGCCCCGATATAAAACGGGTTGCCTGGCTGTGGGTCCTCACCTGCGCGCTTAAAAAAGGACTTATTAATACTCCATACAGGGATTTGTAGTTCCCAATGTCTTTTGGCTTTGGTCTGGAGTGGGGGTGGAGTCCACAAAGCCTGTATGGAATTAGCTTTAGGACATCCTTTCCCCCCTAACATGTGGACAGTTTAAGGAGGAAAAAAAAGTCTGCCAAGGAGCTTTTCCCCTTTGACTGCATTCTTAAGGAAAGCATTTGAAGAAAGTCCTAGCAGCATTGAGTCTTCCATGTTCCTGCTGGTTTGCAAGTCATAGAGAGGGTAGAAAATATGGCCTGGTAAAATGGGAGAGGAAAAGGAATCAATGAGAGGATTTCATTTTGTGGTGATGAAGCAGCGTGCTGCACACAGGCTACTCAGAGTAGCTCACAGGTCCTGCCCTCAAGGAGCTCGCAGTCTAGGGCCCTTTCTCTTTGGAAACCTAAGGAAGTTTCGCTCACTTATTGTTGGATTGGTAGTTTGGTCTCAGTGTCCTCCATCTTTCCTCCTCTGTCTTCCCTTTCCACCTCGGCTTGCTTTATTGATTTCTAGGACCAAGTCCTGGCTTCCACCTATTCTCCTGAGATTTATTTCATTCAAAGTAAGGTGGAGGGTGAGCTGTGTGTGTCGCTAAGGCATCGCCAGCAAAAGGCAGCCCTTACACATGAGGGCCTCCGCATGTTTTCTTAATGCTCAAAGTGAACATCCTCCAGGTGTTATACCGTGATGTGGGCTGGATCCAGATTTTGAGAGGTTGAAAGCTTGAACTCTTTGAGAAAAACGTCAAGAAAAAGAATATGAATATAAAATTAGGTACAGGATCTTGGAAGGGACCCTGAGATTGTTTCATTAGTGTCACGCTAGATCCACCTCTGGTTGTGACTGATAACCAGTGCTCCAGTGTGGGTATCCAAAATGGTAGACCAGCATCTCTAAGGCAGATGTGGATTGTCTCTAGGATAATTTTATGTCTGAAAGTGTATTCACTTGGGTCAAAGTATGACCTTTAAGATGGTCTCTGGGCTAATGTATCTCCAAAGATGTGGTGCAGTGACCCAGCGGGGTCACTGGTTACATGAGAAGTGAGGACTCCAGGTCATGGGCCAGTCAGGGACCGTGGGATGGACAGATTCCACCGTAGCCTGAGGCCACCCCTTGGCAGGACTGGAAGGCCAGAACTGTGGCTGGTTACCTGTCTGCCGGCCCAAGGTTTCCCAGCATCCCTGGGGAGACATGCCATCACTTTTTCTAGGGTCTGAGCTGCCTTCACAGGTCCATTTCAGTGCGTCTCGCCGCAATTCTCTCCCTGTGCTCTTTGTGTTTGGAGTCTTGTCATCATTACCTGAGCCCAAATCACTCCTTGGTGCACAGGGTGGGCTTAAAACTTGCCATTATTTAACAAGCTGCATCTCATACAACATGACCTATCTGCAGGATCTGATTTACCTCTCTTTTTCTCTCAGTATCACAGGACTGTCAATGGGATCATGTTGCATTTACTGTCATGTCTACCGTGTTCGTTTTGGCTAGAATCACCATGTAATTTATTGTCCAAACTCAAACTTTGGAGAGTGATAGGAGATGCTGTTAATAATTATTCTAAATAGACAGGTATAAGCCAGACCTGTCTCAGGCAAATCAGGATGTTTCGTCCCCCTTGTCTTGAGTAATCTCAATCTAGGTGGTTTGTAATTGTACGGACAGATTGCATGTGTTTGTACATGTCTGTGTGGAGGTTCCCTGTTAAAGGGGGCTCATTACTGGATAAGAGGCCTGAAGGAAGTGTGCCTTGCTAGTATGTTACATTACCATGCTTTTCTAAAACTGCTTCACTTGTTAATTCATTTACTCCACTCATTGACTGTTTTTGTTTCTTTCATTCACTTTGTACTTTTTTTTTTCCATTAAATTTTGCATTTATTTTGAGTTTTTGTCGTGTCTTTTTTGGGCAGTAGCTTTTCTGATTTAACATGTGTTCTAGCCTATTAATCTGCTACAACTGTGGTAAAACACAGCTTTTCTGTGAACTTTGGGGGTTGATCAGCTTCTGTAGGAATTGTTTTCATAGTGAATAATTCTGTGGGCATCGTGAAAGGCCTTTGATTCGATTTGGGACAGACGAAAGGGTCACAGTTAGAGAAGATACAGCCAGATTTGTGAATTGTTACTAGGCAACTGGGTGCAGTCCATGAGAGAAAGCACACCCTACCCTTGAAGAGTTTACATCCTTGTGGGGCGATCTGACATGGGAAAACTAATATTTGAGTTCTTCTTGTGTGCAGGCATTGTTCTAAAGTGCATTACGTGCATTAATCCCTCCAATCTTCATAAATTATGATTAAGTACCATTCTCTCCATTTTATATGCAAGGCACAGAGAGGTTTAACAATTACTCAAAGTCACACAGCTAATTGGAGGAATTGGGATTTGAGTATTTGTAGTCTGTACTCCTATTTCCCGAAACTACAGCTGCTCCTTGGCAGCCCCATGGGATGAAGGGGGAGCAGTGGAAATGTCGACAGTATTGAAGTGTGGCTTCTCACAGTGGGTTGGTGACCTGAGATGGTTTTGCAGAAGTGGAATGCCCTGGCAGGTAGGCGGACAGTTGGTTGAAGAAGAGCAAACTGCTGGTAGAAGGACATGATAACAAGTTCATTGGTCTATTTGTTGAGAAACTCCCTGTTGGGCATTAGCCAGCTAATCTCTGAGAAGATGGAAATGAGATGGGGACTAAGGATGGGAACTCACAGCCTAGCGGGAAGACTGGTTGCAGACATCCCCACTGAAGGTATAACTCAATTCAACCCATGAGGAGGCAGGTAGAGAAGCAAACTCTACTCCAGCTTTGAAGGTCAGAGACTCCGGGACTCAGGGAGAAGATCCTCTCTGGAGGAGGGAACAACATCATAGAACTTGGCTCACCCATCTGTGAGAAATACTGTTTGGACGAGTGTAAAAAATGTCCACAATGCCCACCTCCATTTACTTCCCTTAGCCTATCTGCCCCTCCTGCTGTGTAGTATCTGTCTCTGAGCCTTCACCCATCTCCATTTTCTGCAGCCACAGACCATCACCAATTGCTGCCCTTTTGTAGGTGGGCACAAAAGGAAGATAGTTTATATCTAAATATCACCCATCACAGAGCTCTTCAATCTCTTGGTCTGAGGTGGGACAGGAGTTCTAATCTCAGGAGAAAAATGATACAGTAGGTGGGCCCTGGGACTCAGGGCAAGCCTAAAAAATATCAAAGTAGTGCTTTGGCAATACAGAATTTTGGTTTCCCAGGAAGTTAATCCCTCTAGGCCTACCCAACCATGACCAAGAGGGCTCTGAAGGCCTTAGCCAGTTTGGGACTGGTTGAATTAACTCAGGACTCAGTTTACTGCCTGGTTAAGAGGTGCAAATACCCAGCAATTCCTCATTGTCAGAGACAACCAGAGCTCGTGTGGGTCCTCAGTATGACCCTGGCCCAACAAACCTTAGTGCCCACTCGCAGTGGAAGGAAGAGGGTACAGGGTGGCTATAGCCATGAGCAGATGCTGTCCCTCAATCTGTGTGGGACTAGAGGATGGTTATTGAGAGGATCCAGGCAATGGTATTACAAGTAGACTTGACTCTAATGTCTGAGTATATGGTATCCAGGACATGTAACAAGATTCAGACTGCTGAAAGGGGTTAAAGCAACTAGCAAATATGCATCAAGAAAACGTCTGGAATTGTACTGATTGCTCGGTATAGACAACAGTTGTAGTATATCTGGTCCCTGACCACTTTGCACCTAGTAGCAGATCATACTCCCCATGGCTTAGCCACTTACAACAAACTGTTCACAGTGGAAAGGTTTCACAAACCATGTCTAAGTGTGTGGCTCAGTGATTCATATCCCCAGCACCCACTCACACAGTTCCAGCTGGCAGAGCTGCCAGCTGGACTCCACTGCTTAGAGAATGGCTCAATAGTGTCACAACTTCAGAGAGGCAGCTGGCGTCTCCCTCACAGCCATGCTAGCTAGCAACCTCCTCCTCCACCTAGCTGTGCAGTGGTTGGAGCAGGCTCCATCCCAGAACCTGCTCATCTCAACAGAAAGCTCGCAGAATGTGCCTCCCCATCACAGGGGTCACCTTTTTATGCCATTAATTACTGGAAAAATTCCTTTGGCTGGGCTAATAAATGACTTTGCTAAAGAATAACAAAAGAAAAACATGCTACAGCTTGATTCAGTGACGGTGTATTAAAGCATACTTTATAAGCCAGCCCTTCTGTAAAGAAGACACAGTGATGGCCATGTCGGTGTAAATATATCTGGAGAGACTGTCCCATTTTTGCTGTGGCGGGCAGGGTTGTTGGGCCATGAAGTGCTGCGCCTATGCTTGGAATATAGACTGGGAAACTGGAAGGATCTGGCTAGCTCTTGAAAATAGAACAGTAAGAACAGATCTGTCAGAACTAGTCCCAGCCCATCAGCCCTATGCATGATCTACCTCTGGCCTCCAGCTCTCTTAGGGACCAATACCAGCCTCTGCTGGGTGAGGAAGGAAGGTCAAGCTGCAATAGGAGCTTTCATTCATGCTCTCTGGTCTCAGGCCCAAGGGAGGGAGGGTGCAGGGTTGGGATCTGTCAGACTACCTTTACCTCTAGTGACTGTGCCCTTATTTTCTTCTAAGGACTTGCTTTTTTTTTTTCAGTTGCTCTTCCAGGGCCACTTTTTTTTTGTTACAGGATTGATAAAGCCTGGAGTTTTGAGGGGTTCAAGGAAGGAGTTACTATTACACTCTGAAGGGCATTGGGGTAGGGGTGCAGAGGCTGGCAGGTGAAATAGGAAGTTGTGCAGGAGGATGACTATAAACTTCTCAGCTGCTGCTTTACAAGTTCCTTGCAGCAGCTAAACTGTTCGATATTGACCTGCAATTAGAACAGAGTGGTTATCCTGAAGCAAAATCATTTTACATTGTAAAGAATGAGCCATTGAGTGCCAAAATGTTAGCATGGGGCACCTTCATCAAGGTCCAAGCTCCCAGCTTAAAACCCTTCCATTTCAGGGACATCCATCTCTAACCTGTAAAATAGTCACTGCTCTAACTCTTCATTCCATCCCACCCCCTCCATCCTGATTGATTCTGGCCCCCTAGTGCCTGCTACCATATATTCATATAGAGGGTGAGGGGTCTGAAATGTTAAGCACAGGATTGCTTCTTCCTGAACTGGGCATGTCTCCCCATCTTTTTTGGCTGAAAGGGTTGCCATGGAAAGAAATCTCTCACTGTTGCAGAGACCCACCACAAATAGCCCTGTGATGGGAACATGTGGCCCACAGTCAGGTCCAAAGGGCATGCCAGGTGTGGGAAACCTGGCACTTAGGCAGACCTTTCTGAAGGGTCATGTGCCGAAGCATCTTGGGTGCAAGAGTGTCAGCTTAAAGGGCAAAACTGAGATCCTGGTTGGGGCAAAGTTGATATCTACCTGTGCTTTCTTTAGCAGATCAGATATAGGAGTACACCAGTCGGGCATGAGCCTCTCCAACTCTAAGGTGATGATGACCAAGGCCAGTGTGGAGCCCTTGAACTGCAGCACCTGGTGGCCCGCCATACAGTGCTGCAGCTGCCTGGTCAGGGATTCGACGTGGAGGGAAGGATTCCTCTGAGGCAGCAGCTCCATCACTTGGGGCCAGTCCAGGACCACCAGGGCGTGGAACTGGAGATCGTGGTTTTTCATGTCAGAACAGAAAACCCCATACTTTTCATATATCAATGACCAAAAGTGCAAACAATTTAAATTTTCATCAGGGAACATGAAATGTTGCCCAATCCTTTCCATTCCCATCCACATCCCCACGGGGGACTTGAGACTTAATCCCCAGTCTGTGGCCAAGTTGAGCTTCAACCTTGGAGAGAAAGAAACCAGTTGCCTTTGTGACATGGTGGTTATGAGCCTAAAGTACCTAGATGACAATGTTTCAATTCTGAAAAACAGAAGCATACAATTCAAGATTAAGGTGGTAGAAAAGTTACTTGTATCTACTAGACAAGAGAAGAAACTGCAAGTTGGCCACAGTGGCCAATTTTCACTATGAAACAGCCCTTCAATGATTTAATCTTCATGCTTCATAACAGACCAAAACCCCATGACATTTCCACATTGCATAATTTTGCCTTACTAACCGAATCATATCCTGAAGGATGACCATCACTCCCCAACTAAAACAAGTACAGACTAATATGATATTTTTTAAGTGCCAGATCAATATGGTCTAAAGCCTCAACAAGGATTGTGTGTAGGTGAATAAAGACAGCTAAGTGAATGTGTGTAAAGTGTAGCAAAAGCAGAAAGCTTTTTATGTACAGTATTCATAGAATGGAAAGTTAAATATTTTTGCAGTGTGTATTTAAAAGAGAAACTAACCGTAATAGTGCCGTCTACAAATCTTTGTAAAGTTATTTTAATGTTCTTTAGAAGTGGGAGTCTGGTGGAACTGTGTTGGATTTAAGATACATTTTCACTCTTCTGTATGTCGTGAGCCTCGTGGGTCACCTCCCTGTGGTGCATGGGCCGGGATATGTGCACGCCTGTGCTTAGCTGTCCTGTGTTGTGAACAGCTGTTCCAAAGGCACAAATGAGTCTAGGGTAAACTCTGCAAACTCCTCCTACTTACTATGGTTAAGAAGTCCAGCGGCGTCCCGATATAGAGGTCCCAGTGCAGTTTGTCCAAAATAGCCAGCTCCATCCTCAGCAACTCACTTGGAGTATACTTAGAGCCATAGTGCTTTATGAAGTCTTTTACATGTGGAATTACCTGTAAAAAGAAAATAAAAAGGCCAAAGCCCTATATCATGTTATGGTAGCTTCTGTTTTCTTATCCATGGGGGCTGGGCATCCACAACCTTAGAAGAGTTGGCTTCCAGTGACCTGCCACGGAAATACTTCCTAAAGAAAAAGAAACCAAACCAAACCAAACCAAACAAACAGATCTTGGCTACCCCTGGGTCATTGTGACAACATGTAGTGAATGTCATGTGGTCACCCTCTGCATCAGGTTTTGATCCCCAACTGCACTCCAGCTCTCTCCTAGCTCTGGAGGCTGGAACTGGGCCACCTCCCTGGTCCAGATGCAAGCTCGTCCAAAGCTTTCCTGAAGCTGTACTTTTTTTTTTTTTAAAGATTTATTTATTTTTATATAAGAACTGGGGTACAGGCCAGAGAAGCGGGAGGGTGAGAGGATTCACCAGAGACAGAGTGGAGAGCAGAACAGGTAGATGGACCGAAATACCCTGCTGAGGGGAGCAGCGGGGGAGACAGGAGAAGCGGGCGAGACAGGAGATATTTGCCTCGCCATGTGGGTATCTCCCCGAACGGCCAGGAATCAAACCCGTGCTTCAAAGGCTGCAGAGAGCTTCACAGCGCTGCCACTGCACCACCAGGGAGGCCCGAAGCTATGCTCTTCATCCTGCCACGATCACTTGTCATAAAAAGAAAAAGTCTGCCTTTTAGCTTCCCTGTTTGTATCAGCCTCACTGATACAAAACCTCCCCTGGTTTTGGCAAAATTGTAGCTGTGAGCACATCCCCTTCAACCTTGATTGAAGGCCCTTTAGTTCTGGATAAACTATCTTTTCCCCAGAGGGATAACTAAGGCTTGTCTGTGAGTAAACAATCAAATACCAAGTGCATTGAAGACTTGGTCCTACCTTTTTAGAGAAAGAATTACTATAATCTCCAGAAATACTTTTTTGAAGTATTATTTTTCAGTTGGACAAAAGCAACATGGGGTGGTACAAGTATTCTAATAAATGAAGGTTAAGAGCATTTTTATTGCAAGTTTGGAAGTGGACACAGATACCTCATGGGAATGGCAGTGATCCCACGATCCCCAAAGGTGGAGATGTTGGAGAAAAGTAGGGCTGGGTAGGGTGCTGGCAGAGGAGTTTCTCCTGAAAAGAAGTCATAGGTTGCTGAGAAATTCAAGCAAGCCTGGAGCACCCATGTGCTCTTCTTTGCTGCCCCTGCATGCAGCTCTTCTTCTTTTAGAGAAAAGTGTCTGAGAAGCTGTTTCATTGACAGCCAAGTCCTGAAGTCTCAAGAATCATTCTTAAATGTTTCTGGGGTGAACATTAGGTCACATGGCTTGAGGGGCTTTTCCCCTAACTCAACAGTGGCTGCTTCTGTTTAGTGGGAACTAAATGCAGATACATCTGCCAGGTGCTCAAGCCTCTGGATTTGCTGGGCCAGGAGAATTCAGCAGTTCTAATTCCCCATTTGTGGGGTCCTCGAATTTGACAAACTTAAGGAAAAGTTTATGACTTTTCCAAAATCCCCATCACTCCCAAGGGCACAATCTTTTCAGGTAACTCCAAAGCTTTGCTTTTACAGCCCTATACTTCAAAGGCAGCCCAAGCGGGCTTCCAGAGATGCATACCTCATCTTCTTCATGAACCTTTGCTGCAAGTCTCAAGGAAGTAATTGTGACACATTCCAGTAGCCTCTCTTTGACCTGCAGTAGGAAGCAAACACATTTGAATAGACTATGAATGCCAGAAACAAATTACAAAACGTGTTTTTTTTCAAGAAAATATATATATTTTAAAGACTGTTCCTCCTCAAAAACTTAGTGCCATTTTTAGATTGGACCAATGAAAATGCTCTTGGTTTCAGAACTACAGATGATGAGTCAGTAGTCCTTTGTTAAGAAGACTGGACGTGAGAAAATGGCACCTTTGCAGGGTCCACTGTCCCACCTGGCCTTAGGCCACATTGGACAGATCCAGATAAGTACACCCCACGTGGTCACCACACAGAAGTCCTTCCACAGCCAGGTCCTCTCATGAATCCTCAAGTCCATTCCCAGCAGTCACAGAGCAGAGCCAGAGGCAGGGTGGAGTTTCCAGCACCAGTTCTACCACTTGGAGCAAGTTCTACCACATGGAATGCCACTTGGAGCATCTGGGACAGCTCACCTCTCAGGCAGCAATGGGGAGCAGGGGTCAGTTTCCTCCCCCTCCATTTCACCATCCCTCTGAGGCTCCCTTACTTTTACGGAAACCAGGAGGCGGCTGAGGATGGTGAGAGCCAAGTTAATAGTGGCCTCAGAGAAGTCAAAGATGTTATCCTGCCTCAGGAGCCACAGCACAACTTCCTTGAAGGCATGGCGGATCTCCTGCTGGAGAGGGAGAGGGCCACGAGTGGTCAGACTCTCTCCAGCAGTGGTGGGAGCCTCCCCTTAAGGACGGAAGGGGACGTGACAGGCCTTTTCACTTGAGTCCGCTGGGTCAAAGGCCCCTAGTTGGCCTGGGCTCCCTAATTCAGCCCCCCAGGCCCCACACGCCCAGGTTTCCTCCTCCTCCCCACCAGCACGCCCAGCGGTTTTCTGTTTTCAGGCCGAATCCCCAAATAAAACAGGGCCTCCTCCGAGCACCTACTAGGGGAAGAAGCCCGTGACTCCTGCCTCGCGCCTCAAGCCGGGACCACCTGGCCAGGTGCCGCCAGGGTGCGGCTCACCTGAGCGCAGGTGCAGGTGGGCGCGTGCGCGCTGGGGGAGGGGGTGCGGGTGCTCCCGGAAGCCCCCGCCCGGGGGGCCGGTACCTGGGGGTGGCCGCCCCGCCACAGACGCGCCTCGCGGCCGAGAGCCAGCCTCAGGTGGGCCTCCAGACGGCCGCCCTGGGCCGGGTCCGTGGGCGCCCGGCGGCCGTGGTCCCGGGAGGGTGGCGACCCCGGCTGCGCGCCGGGAGCCGCGCCCGCCCCGCGTCGAAGCCCGGCTCTGGGCCTTGCCGGGCCTCTCCCTGAGGGCGCGGGGCGCCCGCTCGCCGCGGGGTGGCGCGCCTCGGGGACCCCGCTCGCGGCCGCGGCGGGCACAGAGGTGCTCCGGGGGCGTGGCGGAGCAAACAGGCAGAGGGCCGCTTCGTCTGGGCTTTCTTCCTGACGTTCGCCAGGACTCGCGACGGATCTCTCCCCTGAGGTAGAGGGCTGCGGCGAGGCTCGAGCCCGCGAGTCCATGGCGAGCGCGGGACCCTGGGGCGGGCCCAGCCTGAGCCAGGGTTTTATAACCCAGCGCCCAAGACTTGCAGCTGGGGCGCCCACCTGGCTGGGCAGTCTGGGCAGGCCCAACCCCAGCCCTCTCCAGGGAGCTGCCCCTGGCGCAGTGGGCCTCCTTGTTGCTTGGTCCTGGGGTGAGGGGTAAGGACCTGGGACCCCGAGTGGCAGAGCACACTCAGAGGGCCAGCAATACCCCTGCCTTTCCTTCCACGCCTACTCCCCTCCCGTGGAGGGCCTCTTACCCACTCGAATCCTGTTCCCCAGCCTGGGATGGGGCAGTTGGTGACCACAGTGGTCTTGAAGAAGGATCCCTGGTCTTACACCCTTACTTCACTGTAAGAATATGGGGAACACACTACCAAGAAACAAAGTGTCAAGGGTGTGCTTCTAGTCAGTCAAGTTTGGGGTGGAATTCCTGACTCGCTGGGTGATCTAGTGCATTTGACTTCATCTCTAAGAGTTTAACTTACCTCTTGTCTAAAAAAGCACTAATAGCTCTCTCAGGAGGTGTTCATTCATGCATGCTTTTATCCTTCAGCCATTATTTTTTTGAAGGCCTAACATAACAGTGAATAAAATAGCTACAGAACTTACGTTTTAGTCAGGAAAGACAGACAATAAATACGAATGGATTATCTGGAAATCCCAGCAATTCCACTCCTAAGTATATGCCCAACAGAAAAGCACATGTGTGCACCAAAAGACAGCTGCATAATGTTCAGAGCAAGACTATTTTCAATAGCCTGAAGCCGGATACAACCAAAATGTCCAACAATTGAATGGGATAAGCAAATTGTGGCACAATACAGTGCATTGAGAAAGAATGGACTATTGTTCTAATCAAGAATATGGAAGAATCTCACAAAGGCAATATTGAACATAGGGAAAAAATACAAAAGAGATCATACACTATGATTCCTTTTAAATAAAGTATAAAAACAAGGAAAACTATAATAGAGCCAAGATAGTAACTCTTTTACTTTTCCTTAGGGGTAGTATATAGAGACTAGAAAGGAACACCCAGGGTATTGTACCAGAAGACTGGTAAGGTTCTGTTTCTTGATCTAGATGTTGATTACATAAGTATGGTCACCTTGTGAATACTAATCCAGGTGTACTTTAATGTAAGATATATTTTGTTAAAAATTACATTACATTAAATTTACATTAAAACATATAGGAATATCAGAAGAAGAAAGAAACTAAGAAATATTTGAAGAGATAATGACTGAGAATACTGCCAAGTAATATCAGAGACCAAACCACACATGACAGAAGCTCAGAGAACACCCAGCAGGGAAATGCCACACAAGGCATATCTTATTGAACTGCAACAATCAAAGGTAAGGGAAAAAAATCTTTAAAGAATCAAAAGGGTAAAAAATATCTTATCTGTAGAGGAGCAAGAATAAAGTTACATTGGAATTCTCTTTAGAGATCATGCAAGGAATAAGAGAGTGGAGTGAAATATTTAGAGTGTTAAGGGGGGACACTCCGCCAACCTAGAATTCTGTTCCAAATGATATTATCTGCCTAAAGTGTTTAAATAAAATATTGAATATAGAAAATTCACTAAACTATTAGAAATATTAAATTCATGAAAGTTGCAGAGTACAAGACCAATGTACTACAAAAACCAATTTTATTTCTATACATTATCAATCATCTGGTAATAAATTTAAGGAAACAATTCCATTTTCAAAATCATAAAAAAGAATAAAATATATAAGATTATAATCAAAAAAGAAAAATACAGAAAACTACAAAATATCATTGAAAAAATGATATTTTGAAAAAATGATATTTGAAAAAAAAGCAATTAAAAAAAAGACCTAAATAAATGGAGAATTTTCATGGCTTGGAAGTCTTAAATTATGAAATTTGTAATACTTGCTGAATTGATCTATGGATTCAACATATACTGCCTTTTTGTAAACACTGAAAAAGTATTTCTGAAATTCCTGTAAAAATGCAAGGAATTCAGAATGGCCAAAACAAACGTAGAGGCCTCACACTACCTGATTTCAAAACTTACCACAAGCTTATACTAATCAAAATAGTATAGAACTCACATTAGAATAGACAGGTCAGCAGAACTGAATTGGAGGTCTAGAAACCAACCCTCTCGTTTATGATCAGTTGATTTTTGGCAAGGGTGCCATTATAATTTAGTTCAGGAAAGCATAGTCTTTTCAGAAAAATGGTGCCAGAACAGTTGGATAGTCACATGCAGAAGAATGAATCTGGATATCTACATTATAATACATACTATGGAAAATACAAAGTAGGGAGAGGGAGAGAAGAAAACTGGGACTGAAGGTTAGAATTTTAAATAAAGGTCATATTAGGGCTCACTGAAAAGGTCACAGGTAACCAGACATTTCTGCAGGAGATGAGGGTGTCAGATGAATATATAGAAGGAGAGGGGCCTGAGTTTTGATTTGGGCTTTTTACTGCTCATATGAATGACCTTGCCTAAGTTACTTAATGGCCCTTGCCTCACTTTCTTTACCTGTAAAGTAGTTATTCTTATATTTTCTATTAAAAGGACTAATAGTGAGCTTATTTCAAAAGGTTATTAAAAGAAGCAAATCAATAAAAAAAATTAAGGCACTTAGAATAGTAAAATGCTTTATCATTATTTTCATCTGCTCCTACTGCAAGGGCAAAAACCCTTGCAAGCTAATTTGTAAACATATCTGGAATGTCAGATGAATCAAGGAGACCAGCTGGAGCTGGTACTGAATGAGTAAGAGGAAGATTGCAGGAAATGGAAAGAGAACTTGTGACTTTTACTCCGAGATGAGAAATCACTGGAAGGTTTGGACAGAGAAAAGATAACATGTGATTCATGTTTTAATACATCACATTGACTTCTGTGTTGAAAATAGACTAAGATAGGCCAAGGATGCGTACAAATAAACCAGTTCTATAATAATAATAATAATACTTGAGAGAAACGCAGCTTTTAACCTGAGCAGTTGTTGGAATTCAGATTACATTTATTGTGATGAGGGAAGGAAATTTTAAAGGGAGGTACTTATTTATTTATTTATTTAGTGCTTAGCAGAGGTGGTGGGTTGGAGAATAGTGGGGCTGAAATCAATATTTCAATTTTGCGCATGATAAACTCGAAATGCCTATAACACACCCAGGCAGAGTGGTGGTCAGGGGGAGAGGTTGAGACAGGAAAGAAGACAGATCATTCGTTTTTTAACAAATATATATTGAAAACCTATCCCGTGCCAGGTCCTATTCTGCGTCCTATTCTAGGCTCTGGAGATTCTTCTGAGAATACTAACAAAACTCCTCACGACCTCACCTAATGGTGAGACAGGTCATAAACAAGCCAGCAGTCAAGCGCGCAGTAATGTCTGCAAAGTCTTTAGCTCTCCAGATGGGATCACTGCTAATGCTGTTTTTAATATCTGGAGTGTTGCGAGTGCCAGAACATGGGTGGTGCGATTTAGGAGCACCTTCTCTTCGAAACGGGTGGCGACCGCCCGGGTAGGGGCCAGATTTCTAAAGCAGCGGAATGGCAGTTCTGCGCAGGCGCAGCCTCAGTCTGGCGTCCTAGGCGACGGCCTAGGAAAGCCCCTGCGCAGGCGTGACTCAAGAGGGCGTGAACGCCTGCGACCAGGCGGTGGGGCGGGGCGGCTCGGAGTGCGCCTGCGCACAGCGTGCTCTCGCCCGAGGAGCCGCAGTCTGGAGAGCGCCTAGGCGGCGTTTGGGAAACCTCTGGCCTGCGTCTCCCGCGAACCCGGCGTCGTTGGCCTGCATCCAGGGCGGGGACGTCCGCCGGGCACGGGAGGGAGCCAAGATGCCGGTGAGAAGAGTTCCTCAGCCTCGGGGGTTTCTCCTTATCCTGGCGGCCGGGCTCGGGGCGCGGCCGTTGCCATGGAGGCGCGGGGCCGGCGGGCGCCGGGATGGGGCGGGACAGGACAGGGCCGGGCCGGGCGGGCCCGGGCAGTTGGGGAGCAGGACTGGTGGGCCCCGGGCCCGCGAGGGTGCAGACGGCCCTGGGAGGGCCCGGGGCAGGCCCTGCCGCCTGGGTCGCTGCTGCACCCCGCAGGGCCTGCGCCTCCTGACAGAAAGGCGCTGTGCCTGAGGAGGCGCGCTGCGCCCAGCCCTGCCTCCTGGGTAGGGCGTCTGGGAGCGACCTCGGAGGGTCGGCTTTGCAGGCTCCGCACCGACCGGGGGCTTTCTGTGCTGCGGAGCCAAGCTCCCGAAGGCTGGGAAGTGAGGGCTGTCTGCTCCTACTCCTGGGCCCTGACTCGAGCTGTCATTCCTCCCGTGGCTCTTCAGCTTACAATGCAGAATGTAACCGTGGGTGTCTTTGTGTGTGAGGGGTGTGGGTAGGGTAGTGGGAGGTGATGTTTGGCCCTTTTTTTGTGTGGTTTGTTTAGATTGAGGTAACATTAATTTACAAAAGGTGTGTTTGTGATTTAGGATTTCGCAGGTGGTTATGGTGCACTGAATTAGGGGACGTCGTACATCCATTATAGGGTCATGGAAAGCGCTTGCGTGGTAGCCAGTTAATTGTTGCTATTGAGACCTCGGACTTTTTGTTCTTTCTGGGCCTGTAGTTCCCAAATAACTAAAATTTTCCTCATGGGATTGTTGTAGAATGAAATGAAATAATGTCCTTCAAGCATTGAAGGACAATGCTTGACATTTAGCATTAAATGCTCAATATTCGTTCCTTCTTACTGCATTCAAGTAATTTATCAACTCTTGCAACAAGAACTGGGTACTAACAAGATGTTAGGCACTGGAGAGAAAATGGTCAACAAAATCTGCTAGGTATTTGAACGTTAGAGGAGAGATGCTTGCCTTCTTGGGCAGAGGTGAAAACCACACCTGTTTACAGAGACAAGACACTTAACGTTAATAAAGTGCAGGGGTGGCTACATTGGATCGAAGTCGATTCCAGCGACTTGTAAAGTGTTGCCACGTAGGAATGCTGGCTGGTCAGATCCTGTCCTTTTGAGAGTCAGTCTAGACGTTTTTGTGAAAATTCTCACTTTAAAAATATTAGCAATAAATTCAAAGTATTTTTAAATACCGTGAGTGAAACAAAAGATATTGGTGGGCCGAATTCATCCCTTTGACCACCTGTTTGCAGTCTCTGGTGTAGGAAGAGGGGAAAACAGACCTTAATCAAATAAGTAGCAAATAGAAGTAGAATTGTAACCAGATACAGGAGGAGAAAGAAGGGTGCTGTAGGTTAAATGAAGTTAATCAGGGTTTTTATGCCATTAGCCTCTGTGGTTATCACCTGCGGTCTTAATCGTGCTAATGCAGAAGGGAGCAGAACAGGTAGATGGACTAAAAACACTGCTGAGGGGAGCAGTGGGAGAGACAGGAGAGGTCTGCCGTGCCATGTGGGTATCTCCCTGGCCAGCCGGGAATCGAACCCACGCTGCAGAGGCTGTGGACAGCTTCACAGCACTGTGCTCAACCCACTGCGCCACCAGGGAGACCCGGAACTGTGTTGTTTTGATATAATACAATTATCAGTGACAATGGCTTACCTTTATTTCTCTCATGCTTACAGTAGGAATTGACAAATAACAGTTCAATGAATCTTTTAACCTTCTCTTCAATATTAATTTAGATTATAAATCATAATTTCAAAAATTGAAACTTTGCAAATACAAGTATTCATAAGGTTAGAGTCATACTAACCCTTTTTTCTTTGTCTTTGGACTTTTTTTTTGAGTCATACTTTATTGACATTGTCAATATACGAATAGGACAAGTTTTTTTCCCCCCTGTTAGGTGAGATTTTTTTAATTTGCCAAATTTGCTCACACATCTTCACCTTGAAAATGTGGCACCTCAAGGTTTAGTCAGGGTATGTAGGATAAGTGAAAAAGTATCAGGCTTTTCTGCCCTCCTGCCATTAGTATAGATGATGGATCCTTGAGGTCCTGAATGCATGCCTGATGGCGGACACCTGGAGTGGGGTGTGGGCATATGTAGATTGGCTTCACCTGGGCTAAGACTGGGCTTATAAGGGCGGCATCACGGGGACGCCAGCAGAGAACAAGGCCATGAGAGAACGCTGGAGAGCCCAGAAAGAGTGAAGACTTGCTGGGGGCTGGGAGGACTGCTAGCCTCCCTGCCCCCTCAGCACCCCTGCCTGCTGTGTACCTGGTAAATCCCAAAAAAAGCCTGAAAAGCCATCTAGGGCTCCAGGACTTCTCCTTTACCCCGTCTGCTTGGGTCATAGAAAACCTGCACTCTCCCTTCCTGCCCATTACAGGGTACTTTATTCCTTTTTCACTTTCATGATTTTTACACTGCTGCCAGATCTCTTAGCACTTGCTTTGAATTCTGTCTTCAGAGCATCTTTCACTGCTTTTACACAGATCTGGGAGTATTGAATGCAGGGAGTCCAGCCTGTAGCCGGTAGGCCACCATGATGTGTCCAGAGTCACAGGGTCTGGTTGAATAGCCTCTTTCCTATCTTTAATTTATTGTCTTGTATAGAAAAGGCAGTGTATGGGTTTATTTATTTTTTTAAAGATTTATGCATACAAGACCTGGGGTACAGGCCAGAGGTGTGGGGGGTGAGAGGACTCACCAGAGATAGAGCGGGGGAACAGAACAGGCACACTGATTGGCATGCACTGCTGAGGTGAGCAGCAGGCGAGTCAGGAGAGGTCTGCTGCGCCATGTGGGTCACCTCCCTGGCCAGGGATCGAACTCTTGCTGCAGTGGCTGCAGATAACTTCATAGGTTGTGTCTTATAACCCCTTGCGCCACCAGAGAGGCCCAGTATATGGATTTATTATATGATAAAAAGCATTTTACTAATGCATTATAGAAAATAAAAATGAAAGTCTCAGGAAACTAAGGACCTAGTACCGTATTCTTGATTAAAATTGTTAGCCATAGTCACATGTGTTTTCCTACAGGTGGGAAACTCAGAGGAAGTTAGGGACTTTTTGTGCAGAAAGAAGTCCTGTAATATATGGGTTCATTTTCTGTTTGAATAGCATTTACTGTAAATGTAACTTAGATTCTCTCTCCTCACCTGCATGATAGAGAAAACATTTTCTTTTTTATAAAGAAAATACTTTCCCTTTCATTTCCTTTAATAAGTTTTTCTGTAGCTCTAAGATCTTTAATTGTATTTAACAAAAATATATGGTGTGTTTAATATGTACAATGCCCTGAGATTGCAGAGTATCTGTAGCTTTTTTTCTGTTTTACTTTATTCTTGCCCCAACCCTGACATTGTTCAGATTTTTTTTTTTAGATTTGTTTATGTGTAGAAGAACTGGGGTATAGGCCAGGGGGTTTGGGGGTGGGATGGGTCAGAGGATTTGCCAGAGACAGAGTGGGGAGCAGAACAGGCAGATGCACTGAAATACACAGTTGAGGGGAGCAGCGGGTGAGATAGGAGAGGTCTGCTGCACCATGGGGGTAGCTCCCTGGCCAGGGATCAAACTCAGGCTGCAGTGGCTGGAGATAGCTTGATAGTGCTGAGACTTTAACCCCTGTACCATCAGGGAAGCCCCATTTTTCAGATTTTAATTTGATTAGTTGAAAGTAAAAGTAAATGTTTTTTTTCATTATTTCTAAACATTTTTTCCACCAGATCAATAAATCAGAGAAGCCAGAAAGCTGCGATAATGTGAAGGTGGTTGTTCGGTGCCGGCCCCTTAATGAAAGAGAGAAATCGATGTGCTACAAGCAGGCTGTCAGTGTGGATGAGATGAGGGGAACTATCACTGTACATAAGACTGATTCTTCCAATGAACCTCCAAAAACGTTTACTTTTGATACTGTATTTGGACCAGAGAGTAAACAACTTGATGTTTACAACTTAACTGCAAGGCCTATTATTGATTCTGTTCTTGAAGGTTACAATGGTGAGTACTTTATATAGTTTATTTTTTTAAAAAACAACTTGATCAAGGTGGTATTAATACCCCAATAAATTCACCCATTGTAATTGTAAAGTTTGATAAATTGTAATAAATAGTTTTGTTTTTTTTTTAAGATTTATTTTTATTTATTTATACAAGCACTGGGTACAGTCAGAAGCGTGGGAGGGCGAGAGAATTCACCAGAGCCAGAGCGGGGAGCAGAGCAGGCAGAAGGACTGAAGTACACTGCTGAGGGGAGCAGCTGGCGGCAGGAGTGGTTTGCGCGCCATGTGGGACCCTCCTCCGGTGGCAGGGGAGCAGCCGGGGATCGAACCAGCACTGCAGAGGCTGCGGGCAGCTTCGCAACCCAGAGCTCAACCGCTGCGCCACCGGGGAGGCCCTGTAATAAATAGTTTTGAAACCACTGCCACAATTCAGTTTTATCACTTTAAAAAGTTCCTTGATGTCATTTGTAGTCCTGCTGTCATTGCTGGATTGTATTCCATCGTATGACTCTACCATCTTTTATGTTATTTGATGGGATTGTTCTAGTTTCTTGGTTAAATACTGCTATGAATAGTCTGTGTCTTTATGCAGATACATCTTAAACTTTCTCATTGGGAGATAACTTACAAGTGGAATTACTGCTCATAGAGTTATTGCATGTTTATCTTAAAGGAGATTATCAAACTGTTTTCAAAGGAGGTGATGATGGTACAGTACTACTTTTTTCCCCACCAGCATGATATGAAGGTTATGGTTTTCTTATATTCTTGCCAACATCTAGATTATGAGTTTTTTTAATTGTAACCATTCTGGTGTATCTTAGTGGTATCCCATTATGTCTTGTATTTCTCTGGTAGTACAGACCATTTATTTTTCCCTTTTTTGCAGTTTTTGTTTATGTTTAGAAGAAATGAAGTGTAGGCTAGAGGTGCAGGGGGTGAGAGGTTTCACCAGAGACAGAGTGGGGAGCAGAACAGGCAGATCTACTGAAATACACTGCTGAGGAGAGCAGTGGATGAGACAGGAGAGGTCTGCTGCACCATGTGGGTCAGCTCCCTGGCCGGGGATTGAACTCATGCTGCAGTGACTGGCAATAGCTTGATAGTGCTGATATTTTAACCCCTGGGCCACCAGGGAGGCCCCAGAGCATCTATTTATTTATTTATTTGCTATTTGTATATCCTCCTTGGTAAAATACCTCTTAAAATATTTTACCCATTTTTTTTTTTTAATACTTAAAGAGCAGGTTTATTAGGAAAGGGGGACAAAAGAATAAAAGACACTTGCATAGACACAAGCGGGCAGAAAGAGCTGCCCCAAAAGGGACACGTTTGCTGAGAGAGGCCTGCATAGTTGCAGGCAGGTGGCCTTGAGGAGAGCGCCCTCTGCTGAGGGGGGTCAGTAAGGAGAATCCCCGGCATGGTACAGGTCATGGGCAGACAAGAAGCTGCTGCCCTGCAGAGGGAGAGAGTTGGTGAAAAGAACTACCTGCATAATCACAGGTGGGCAGAGGGACTGCTGCCTATTACCCATTTTTAAATTCCATTGGCTGTCTTCTTACTGATTTATGCTTTTTTGGTATTTTGTATTCAATCCTTGATCAGCGATTGAAAATATTTTCTCCTGGTCTGTGGCCTGTCATTTTACATATATGTATTTTTAAATCTTTTGATTCTTTTATTTCCTTTTTATTTTTTTAAAGAATTATTTATTTATGGGGTCTCCGTGGTGGTGCAAGGGTGGTGCACTATGAAGCAATATACAGCCTCTGCAGCACGAGTATTCTATCCGTGCAGCAGACCTCTCCTGTCTCATCTGCTGCTCCCCTCACCGGTGTACTTCAGTCAGTCTGCCTGTGCTGTTCCCCATTTTGTCTGTGGTGAATCCTCTCACCCCCTGCATCTCTGGTCTGCATCCCAGTTCTTGTATGCATAAATAAATAAATCTTAAAAAAAAGATTTATTTATTTATACATACAAGAACCAGAGTACGGGCCAGATGTGGGGGAGGGTGAGAAGATTCATCAGAGACAGAGTGGGGAATAGAACAGGCAGACTGACGAAATACACGATGAGAGGAGCAGCCGGAGAGACAGGAGAGGTCTGCTGTGCCATGTGGGACCCTCCCGGCCGGCCAGTATCAAACCAGCGCTACAGAGGCTGCGGACAGCTTCACAGTGCTGCCCTCAACCGCCTGCGCCACCAGGGGAGGCCCACATTTTATATTTTTAATAGTATTTTTTCTCTAAGAGAAAATGTGTTTTGTTTTTTTTTTTAAGAGAAAAAGTTTTCAATTCTGAATAAGTCCATTTTATTAATTTTTTCTTGTCTCATGCTTTTGGTGACATAGCCAAGAAATTTTTACCAAACCCAAATATATACAGATTTTCTCCTATGTTTTCATCTAGAAATTTTAAGTTTTATTTATAGTCTCAAGTAAGGGTCTATTCTCTTTATTTCTTTACTTCCCCATTTCTTATCTATGATATCCAGTTGTTTCAGTACCATTTGTTCAGAAGGCCAGCCTTTCCATATAGAATTGATGATTTTTTCAGAAGTCCACTAAACATGTGTAGGCTTATTTCTGGATTGTCTATTCCATGTCCTGTTTTTATTATATGTTTATAGTATAGGTTTTGAAATTAGGCAGTATGTTATTTAACTTTATTACTCTTTTTTCAAAAAGACATTGACTTTTCTAGGTCCTTTCCAATTTTCATAGAAATGTTAAGACCATCAGGTCAATTTCCACACACATGAACTACCTACTGGATTTTTGATAGGGATTATGTTGTTTTTCTGACAATATTGAGTCTTGTGATCTATGAACATGTTACAGTTCTCTGTGTCTTGTTTGATTTGTTTTTGTAATTATACATTGTCAATATATAGAAATGCAATTCATTATTTTAGGTAACTTTTTACATTGAGATGGATTTTAACAGTTGACTATTTTAACCATTTTATAGTATACAAGTCAGGGTGTTTTAAGTAAACTTACAGTTCTTTGCAGCTGTCATCATTATCTATTTGAAGAACATTTTCATAACCCCAAAAAGAACTGCCTGCTAGTAGTTACTTGCCATCCTCTTCCCTCATACTCAGCAACCATTTACCTACTTTGTGTGTAAGTTTGTTGATTCTGGGCATTTCATACAAATGAAACCATTTGCTCTGTACTTCTTAGTATCTGACTTTTACTTAGCATGTTTTTAATGTTTGTAGGTTGTAGTTTATATCATTATTTCATTTTGTTTTTTTATGGCCACATAGCATTCCATTGCATGGATATGCAGTTATGTATTTTAATTATGGATAAGTTTTTTTTTTTTTTTTAAAGATTTATTTATACAAGCACTGGGTATAGTCTGAAGCATGGGAGGGTAAGAGAATTCACCAGAGCTAGAGCGGGGAACAGAACAGAACCAATGCGCCACCAGGGGAGGCCCAATTACGGATAAGTTTTAAATGCATTGTTAGGCAGTTTTGTCATTGTACAAACATTATATAGTGCAGTGCAAACCAGTATAGCTTATGAGGCACCCAGGCTACATGTTACAGCCTATTGGGACACCATTGCATATGTAGTCCCTCATTAAAGAATGCACGAATAGATTATATTTTGTTTATCCATTCATCAACTGAGCATTTGGATTATTTCTGTTTTTTGACTTTCATGAATGATGTTACAATGAACATTCTTGTACAAGTTTTTGTGTGCATGTATATTTTTAATTTTCATGGATGTGGAATTACTGGGCTAAAAATGAACTGACAGATTTTCCACAGTGGCTATTCCATTTTTATATTCCACCAGCAATAAGGTTGATGGGATGTGAGGTTTCCAGTTTCTCCACCTCTTTACCAAAGCTTGTGGTTTTCTTTTTGATTATATAACTTTTCCAGTGACTATAAAGTGATACATTAATGTGTTTTGCAGGTTGACCTTGTATCCTGCACTCTGCTTTTTTTTTTTTTTTTTGGACAAACTCACTACAGTTTTCTATGCACAAGAGCATCTTGTCTGGAAATATAGTTCAACTTCTTTATTTCCAATCTTTTCATTATATGAGTAGCACTGGCTAGGACCTCTAGTACATTGCTGTATAGAAGTGGTGAGTATGGGACCTCCCTGGTGGCGCAAGGGGTTAAAGCACAGCACTGTGAAGCTATCCACAGCCTCTGCAGCATGAGTTCGATCCCAGGCCAGCCAGGGAGCAACCCACATGGTGCAGCTGACCTCTCCTGTCTTGCCCGCTGCTCCCCTCAGCAGTGTATTTCAGTAGATCTACCTGTTCTGTTCCCTGGTCTCTCTCTGGTGAATCCTTTCACCCTCCACACCTCTGGCCTGTACCCCAGTTCTTGTATGCATAAATAAATCTTAAAAAAGAAAAACAAGTAAAACATTAACTCTTTCACTAGTAAACCAGTAAGGATAATGTTATCTCTACATTTTTCATAGATACCCTTTATCAGAGCAAGGAAATTCCCTTCTGTTTTTAGTTTGCTGACAGTTTTTTTTTTTTAATGGGATTTTGTCAAGTGCAGGTTTTTCTCCATCAGTTGAAATTATGTTTTTTATAAGTATTTTAATATGGTCAGTTACATTGAATTATTTTTTTTATATCTTTTTTAAAGATTTATTTATTTATTTATACAAGCACTGGGTACAGTCAGAAACGCTGGAGGGTGAGAGAGTTCACCAGAGCCAGAGCGGGGAACAGAACAGGCAGACTGACGAAATACACTGCTAAGGGGAGCAGCGGGCCTGGCAGGAGAGGTCTGCGTGCCATGTGGGACCCTCGCTGGCTGGCGGCACCACCAGGGGAGGCCCTGAATTATTTTTAAATGTGAAAGAGCTATGCATTTGGTCATGGTGTATTATACTTTTTTGTATGTTGTTAGATTTGATTTGCTAAAATTGTGTTTAAATTTTTGATAATTTTCTTCTAATGTCTATTTGGTTTTGGCATCAGGGTAATGCTACATAGAATGAGTTGGAAAGTATTCCCTCCTTTTTAATTATATGGAAAGATTTACCTAGAATTACTATTACATTTTCCCTAAATGTTTGGTAGGATTTATCAGTAAAGCCTGGGAGAAGAGGGGTTGTGTGTGTGGGGGAAAGCTTTTAACTATAATTTATTTATTGGTACAGGGCTATGTGGGTTACCTATTATTTTCTTGAATGAGCTTTGGTAGTTTGTCCTTTCACAAAATTTGTCAGTTTTGTTAAGTTGTTGAATTTACTGGGGAAAAATTGTTTTTATCAGTCCCCTATTGTTAGATTATAGTAATATAATCTTTCTCTTTCCTGATGTAGGTAATTTGTGTCTTTTTTTTCTCTTTTTTGATTGGTCTGGCCAGAGGTTTATGATTTTTAATGATCTTCTCAAAGAACTGGTGTTTGGCTTTATTGTCCTTTATTTTTTTTATTTTCCATTTCAATATTTTCTGCTTTTATCTTGTTTCTTTTCTCCTACTTCATTTTCTTTTTCCTTGCTCCTTTTTAAAAAAAATTTATGCGTACATGAACTGGGGTGTAGGCCAGAGGTGTAGAGGATAAGAGGATTCACCAGAGACAGAGTGGGGAGCTAAATAGGCACATCTACTGAAATATACTGCTGAGGGTAGCAGCAGGCACGACAGAGATCTGCTGTGCCATGTGGATTAGTTCCCTGGCCAGGCATGGAACTCATGCCTCAGTGGCTGGTAATAACTTTAACCCCTGCGAGAGACTTTAACCCCTGCGCACCTTTTGCTTGTTCTTAACATGGAAGTTGTGGTCATTGTTTTTTGTTTGTTTTTAAGATTTATTTATTTATGCAGACAAGAGCTGGGGTACAGGCAAGAGGCGCAGGGGCGGGGGGCTGAGAGGATTCACCAGAGACAGAGTGGGGAACAGAACAGCCAGATTGACCAAACAAAGTACACTGCTGAGGGGAGCAGCGGGTGAGTCAGGAGAGGTCTGTTGTGCCATGTGGGTATCTCCCTGGCCAGGTATTGAACTCGTGTTGCAGTGGCTGCGGACAGCCTCATAGGTTGTGTCTTAACTCTTGTGCCACCAGGGAGGCCCCGAGATCATTGTTTTTGAGGCCTTTCTTCCTAATATAGAGCTTCAATGCTGTTATTTACCCCCTAAGTACTGTTTTAGTGGATTCCTGTAGATTTTGACATACTGAGTTTTCGTTCTCATGCAATACAAAATACTTTCTACATCCCCTCTTGATTTCTTCTTTGATAGTGAATTATTTAGTAATGTGTTAGTTTCCAAATATTTTGAGTTTCCAGAGATGTTCTGTTACTGATTTCTAATTTAATTCCATTTGTTTCATTTTTTTGTTGTTTCTGTTGATATGTTTTCAAGTTTATTGATCTTCCCTTCTGCGTTGTCTAGTGTACCTTTAACCCTGTCTGTTGTATTTTTCATTTCACACTTTGTAGTTTTCATCTCTGGAAGTTTGATTTGGGTTTTTGTTATATCTTCCATCCAGGTTTCTTTTCAACATACATAATATAGTTTTTATTACTCTTTTTTTTTTTTTTTAAGATCGATTTATGTATACAAGATACAGGCCAGAGGTGTGGAGGGTGAGAGGATTCACCAGAGACAGTGGGGAACACGAACAGGCAGATTGACCACTGCTGAGGGGAGTAGCGGGCGAGTCAGGAGAGGTCTACTGCGCCATGTGGGTTGTTCCCTGGCCAGCGGAGGATCTAACTGTGCCGCAGTGGTTGTAGAGAGCTTCATAGGTTGCATCTTAACCCCTTGTGCCACCAGGGAGGCCCAGTTTTTATTATTCTTAATATCCTTGTCTGCCAATTTCAATGTCCGTGTCGTTTCTGAGTTGGTTTCCATTGGTGGATTTTTCATTATAAATGATATCTTTTTTTTTTTCAACTTCGGCACTTTTTGGTTGGATGTGAACATTGCAGATTTGACCTTGGATATTTTTTATTCCTGTAAATGTTTGTGATCTTTGTTCTGGGATGCAGTTACTTGAAAACAGTTTGATTCTTTCAGATCTTTCCTTTTAAATTTTTTAGTTAGGAAGAGGCCAGTTCTCAGTCAGGGGTTCCTATTTCCTATGACTGTGACAAAACCCTTTTGTATACTGTGCCTAGTATCCCATGAATCATAAGGTTTTCAAGTTTGACTGGTGGCAACAGATACTGTTCCTGGCCTGTGTGTGTGGAGGATGACCCTGCAGGTCTTTGGAGCTTTGTCTGTGACTTTCTCTTCTCTGGTATGGTGCCCTACAAATTATAAGTACGTGGCCTCTCTAGACTGCAACTCCTTTTCAAGTCAGGGATGCTGCCAATCACTACTTGGGCCCCCCTATTCCTGTTCTAGAACTTGGATTATCTCTCAAGACAAGAAGCCGGTTCATTGAGGAATACTGCAAATGCTTTACTCTTGTAGCACAGAGTACATGTTTATAATTGTTGATAATAAAGAGAAATATGAACTAGGATAATTTTAAATCTGGAACAAGTTGCATCATAGTGTCAAAGGAATTAATTTGTAGTTCTATAGCATTGGACTGCAAAAATCATTGTTTTCTTCATCATTTTCAGGGACTATTTTTGCATATGGACAAACTGGAACAGGCAAAACTTTTACTATGGAAGGCGTTCGAGCTGTTCCTGAACTTAGAGGAATCATTCCAAATTCATTTGCTCACATATTTGGTCATATTGCAAAAGCAGAAGGTGATACAAGGTAAAAGAGAATTCTTTTATTTTTTAATGTTGACAAATACAAACATGGAAAAGACAAAGTTGGTGTTAATTTTATCAGCACTCTTAAAAAAATAGAATACCTATAGGGGCAGTTTTATGTTTTTAAAAATGATGTTTTATTTATAGATTTTTGGTTCGAGTATCTTATTTGGAAATATATAATGAAGAAGTTCGTGACCTTTTGGGCAAGGATCAGACACAGAGGTTAGAGGTAAGAGTAATTGAAATTGGAGTACTTTCCAGAGCACAATATTTACTAAGTTAAAGTCCTTTTTGTACAAAAGTTACTTTTAATAATTTACTTATTTATTAGACAGATAACAGGATCACATGATTAAAAAAAAAATTGAAAAAAAATTCCTGCTTTGAAAAGTCTTGTCCTCCCCTTCTGCCCCATTCTCCCCATCCTATGATACCCACTTTCAGTATCCTTTCAGTGTTCCTTTTTATATAAGTACAAACAAATTCAATTTTATTTTCACCCCAAAAGTAGCATATTATTATCACTGATCTGTCTACTTTTATATTTATTTATGCTTAGAAGAACTGGGGTGTAGGCCAGAGGCGCAGGGGGTAGAGGATTCACCAGAGAAAGAGTAGGGAGCAGGGCAGCCATATCTACTGAAATACACTGCTAAGGGGAGCAGTGGGTGAGACAGGAGAGGTCTGCTGTGCCATATGGATTAGCACCTTGGCTGGGGATTGAACTCATGCCACCGTGGCTGGCGATAACTTGATAGCCCTGAGACTTTAACCCCTGTGCCACTAGGGAAGCCCGATCTGTCCTTTTTTTTTTTTTTTTTTAAATTAAAATTTTGTTGAGATGAATGTAAATTCGCATGCAGTTCTAAGAAATAATAGAGCGATTACCCTTTATAGAGATCTACCCTTTACAAACTTTTCCTCAATGGCAACATTTTACAAAGCTATATTATAGTATCACTGCCAGGATATTGATATTGTTACACTTTACAGATCTCAGATATCCCCAGTTTTTCTTGTACTCATTTGTGTTCCGTACTATTCTATCACATGCCTAGATTAGTATGTCCACTACACAGCCAATACTAACCATTTCCATCAACATAGATGTTTCACGTTGCCCTTTTACAACCGCAGCCACCTTTCTCAATAATTATCACATGGTTAAAGAATTTGAGTCGGTACATTATGCAATTAACTGATAAGTGTACCTGAATTATTTTTTTAATTATTTTTTTAAAATTGATAGAGAATTCAGATAGCTTAATATTTACTATTTTGAAGTATACAATTTAGTGTTTCTTAGTATATTCATAAAGTTTTGCAGTCATCACTACCATCTACTTCTAGAACATTTTCATTACTCCAAAAAGAAATCCCATGCTTATTAATAGTTACTCTCCCATTTCTCCATCTCCCAGCCTCCAGTAATTTACTTCCTATCTCTATGGATTTGTCTTTTCTGGACATTTCATATAAATGGAATAGTATGATATTTGACCCTTTGTATCTGGCTTCTTTCACTTTGTATAATGTTTTCAAAGTTCATTCTGAATCAGTACTTCGTGTTTTAAAAGGTACTTCATGTTTTTATTTTATTGAGTTAAATTGGCATACCGTCTTACTTACCCATTTTATTTTATTTTTTTTTTTTTTTTTAAAGAGGCATGTATATTTATTTATTTATTTGTTTGTTTGTTTGTACATGCACTGGGTACAGTCAGAAGCGCAGGAGGGTGAGAGAATTCACCAGAGCCAGAGCAGGGAGTAGAGCAGGCAGAAGGACCGAAGTACACTGCTGAGGGGAGCAGCGGGCGGCAGGAGAGGTCTGCGCGCCATGTGGGACCCTCCTCCGGTGGCTGGGGAGCAGTCGGGGATCAAACCGGCGCCGCTGAGGCTGCGGGCAGCTTCGCAACCCAGCGCTCAACCGCTGCGCCACCAGGGAGGCCCTACTTACCCATTTTAAATGTACAATTTATTGACTTAATATATCTATAGGGTTATACATCTATCACCACATCAATTTTAGAGCATTTTTGTTAACTCTGAAAGAAGCCCCAAGCCCCTGTGGACCCTAAAACCCCCACTGTATTCTCTAGTCCTAGGCAACTATTAATCCACTTTCTGTCTTTACAGACTTGCCTGATTTTTGATTTACAAAGAAATACAATATGTAATTCTTTTGTGACTACTTTCTTTCACTTAGCATAAATTTTTCATTTTCCATGTTGTATCAAGTATTAGTACCTCATTTCCTTTTATTGCTGAATAATAATGCCTTGTATGGTTATCACACATTTTATTAATCCCCTCATTAGTTGAATATTTGGATTTTTAAAATTTTTTGTCTTTTATGACTAATGCTTTTATGGACATACTATACTGGTTTTTGCGTGAATATGTTTTCAGTTTCCTTGGTTATATATCTTTGAGTGCAATTGCTAGAGCATGTGACAACTCCACTTGAGGAACTGCCAGATTGTTTACCTATTTCTGCACCATCTCACATTCCCATCAGCAGCATGTGAGATTTCTGATTTTTCCACATCCCTGTCATTACCTGTTATTATTTGAATCTTACTGTACCCATTTTAGTGGCTACAAAGTAGAATCTTATTGTGAGCTTGATTTTCATTTCTCTGTTGCTAATGATGTTGAGCACCTTTTTATACGCTTAGTGACTATATGGCTACCTTCTTTGGAAAAACACCTATTCAGATTTTTAGATGGGCTGTTTGTGGTTTTATTATTGAGTTATATGTTTCTAGAAATCCTAGTTTCTAGATACAGTTCCTTTATCAGATACTTGATTTGCAATTTTTCCCCATCTGTTAGTTGTCTTTTTACTTTCTTGATGTCTTTTGAAGCATACACCTTTAAAATTTGATAATGTCGATTTTGATGTTGTATCTCAGGAACCATTAATTCAGCCAAGGTCATGAAGATTTACACTTTCGTTTGTTTCTTAGAGGTCCGTGGTTTTATCGCTTATGTTTAGGTCTTTTGATACATTTTGATTTAATTTTTGTATTGTTTGATATACAAAGAAAGGTTCCACATTCTTTTGCATGTGGATGTCCAGTTATTTTACCATTTTTTATCGAGAAGACTTCTTTTTCCTATTGTGTTTTGTTTTTTATTTTCACTGAACAGGGAGTTATGGCACTCTTTCCAAAAATCAATACAGAGAAAGCTTCCTCGTTCTTTTTCTTTTTTTCCTTTTGTCTTTTTAAAAGGCCATGTAGTATTTTTTTGTGTGCACATAAATTTATTTTGCCAGTCCTCTGTTGAATACTTGTGTTGTTTCTTTATTTTTAAAAACAAGTTATTTTAATTTATTTTTTGTGTAGAACCTGGGGTACAGGCCAGAGATGTGAGGTGTGAGAGGATTGACCAGAGACACAGTGGGTAGCAGAACAGGTGGACCTACTGAAATACACTACTAAGGGGAGCGGCAGGTGAGACAGGAGAGGTCTGCTGTGCCATGTGGGTCAGCTCCCTGGCCAGGGATCCAACTCAGGCCACTGCGATGGGCCTTCACAGTGGTAGTGCTGAGACTTAACCCCTAGGCCACAAGGGAGGTCCTCTTTTCTTTGACTATTACATTACAAACAATTTTGCAGTAAATAGACCAGTATATGTTTCATACATGTGCAGGCATATCTGAATAAATTCTTGAAGCAGGACTATTAAATCAGGTAATAAGTGACTGGTAAAATTTGGTAAAATATCTCCAAATATTTTAGTATTTGAGTCAGACAACAAAAGAGATTTCCCTTTAAATGTTTATATTGGTATTTTTTTTTTAAGATTTATTTATTTATTTATACAAGCACTGGGTACAGTCAGAAGCACAGGAGAGTGAGAGAATCCACCAGAGCCAGAGCAGGGAACAGAACAGGCAGACTGATGACGAACACTGCTGAGGGGCGCAGCGGGCAGCAGGAGAGGTCTGCGCGCCATGTGGGACCCTCACTGGTGGCCGGGGATTGAACCGGCACTGCAGAGGCTGTGGGCAGCTTCGCAGCCCAGCGCTCAAACACTGTGTCACCGGGGAGGCCCAAAAGTTTATTTTTTTAATCACTGAAATTATTAGAATAAAAATCATTTGGCAAGAACTTCCCTTTTTGTACTGGTAATTATAAATGCGGTTTATTCTCAGGAAGTCTTGTCAGTGATTCTCATTTGATTAGATCCAGTGTCCCTGTTTCATCATATTTTATTATGTTTGGCAATCCTGAAGTAAAATTTATAGAAAATAAAATCTGCCTAAATGTGTAATTTTGAAAATTTCAGTATGCTACCCACTTGTGTCATAAAGGAGACTAAAAGTACTTAAAGTGCTGATATTTCAGTAAGTAAATGTTTAGATGTGATCACGTTCAATGATCTATGAAGTAGTTAGGGACATGTTATAATCACGACTACCACAGCCACAAATACAGACTATTATAAGTGGATTGTATTGGTCCTAAACACCTTGATTTGTGTTATTGTCAGTGACAAGGTCTTTTAGTTACTACTAGATCTGAATAGGAGAGTTCTGAGCAAGTTAGTTTTTTCCTGCATTTTTATATTAATATCATTACTATGGAGAAGCATTTTGTTTTTATATGTAAAGTACTTTGAGTCCATACTCAAATATTTTTTATCCATGTGAATACCTGGTAGAACATTGACTGTTAGATGGGACAATTCTTAATTGGTTGAGGTCATCCCTTCCATTTCAGGATATTTAGTATCCCTGGGCCCTGCCTATGAATACTAATAGTATTCTCAAGTGAACCATAAACTTCCCCCACAAATTTCTAAAACATTCTGAGTGTGGGAGTTACTGCCACCATTGAGATCCATTGTTTTAATGTTATAAACTATGTTTGTTATTAATCAAATTTGTTTTATTAATTCATAACATTACTGCCCATTTTTTAATGTTCATAAATCTTTAGTCATACTTCATTTCTTCTCTTTCATATCTAATCATTCACCTGTACTTAATGAATTAATATATTGTTTACAAATGACCTTAGACTCTATAGACTGGTGCCAATTTGAAGAATATTTATGTTCAGAAATGAGATGAGTACAGAAAGTGAGAATAAAATGCTTAAAATGCTTAAAAAAAAGCTTTATAGTAATTTGATATTGCCATGGCATGAAGATCATGATTTTTGTATTTTACAGAAATAGCAGTTTGCCAGATTAGAAATATCCACATTGTTCTTTACTATAGATTTTCTGAGAAGCATTGATGTAGACCAGTTATTTTCAAACTTTTTAAAATGTTTAAAGCATTTAAACACTTTCTTCAAATGAAAACCTTAGTAGAAGCATAATGTATAAGATAGATGAAAGGAAAGCTCTCATTAGAACTTGTCTGGCCATGTAGCCCTCCACACTCCCAAGGCGGTTTTCTCAGTGCCACCATGCACCTTATAAGGGCTTTTCAGAGCACTGGTTTGAAGCCCACTGGTCTATAGAAACCAACACACTCCTTTTGCTAATAATAAAATTAAGGTTTAATTTATATCCTGTGACAGAAAAAGGATACTTTTTCCTACTGCATAAGTACATATTATAATTGTTATAAAAGACAAAAAAACCCAAAAGCCCTAACTATATCTAAAATCAACTTTGTGACTTTTGTTTCTGGGATTGTTTTTCAAACTTCTGTTGTCATCTTTGTCTATAAGGTTATAATACCTGTGGAATCACTTTTTTCGCAGGCTGCTACAGTCCTTTCCTTCAGTTTAATTTTATTCTATAGACAGGTAGAGGTGACTTTTGGGGTCCTCTGAGAGATACTTGTATTTTTAACACTATGTATATTTTAGGTAAATCTATCCTAAATACATTCTTCAAATTTGGTAAAAGTTCTCATAAGATCACTCACAGAAAGGTACTGTTTTTACATGGATATCTATAAATCTCATCATTTCACTCAAATAAAATTCTCTGGTAGCTTCAAATTACTGTTAATGTAAAGACCATTAGTTAAGCTTAATCTTATTTCTGCCTATCTTTCTAGCCAGATATCCCTTCCATTTTTTTCCTACTCTTTCCAGCCATTCTGACCTTTTTTTTATTTTAAGATTTATTTATTTATTCATACAAACACTGGGTACAGTCAGAAGCGTGGGAGGGTGAGAGAATTCACCAGAGCAGGGAACAGAACAGGCACACCGACGAAAAACACTGCTGAGGGGAGCAGTGGGCGCGCCAGGAGAGGTCTGCGCGCCATGTGGGACCCTCGCCAGTGGCCAGGGATCGAACCAGTGCTGCAGAGGGTGAAGCCCAGCGCTCAACCTCTGCAGCACCACCAGGGGAGACCTTTTTTTTCTTTTTCTGGTTTGCTTAATGCTTGTTTATTAAAGTGCCTAGTGTTTTCACATTTCATGATCTTTGCACTTACTCTTTACCAGATTCCAACCCAGATTGGCTGTCTCCTATTTCTTCAAATTTTAGCTTAAACATCTTTATACTATATTTTTGTACTGTTCTTTCCTTCACCCCACCCATGGCATTATCACAATTGAAATAATATTTTTGTTTGTGATTATTTGTTTATATGTTTTTATGTTCTTCCTTCTTACGAGATTGTAACTTCAAACGCATAGAGACTAAGTCTTTCTTATTCATTACTACATCATCACTGTCTAACAGTGTCCAATATATAATAAATATTCAGTAAATAACTGGAAGAAATACAGATATATGTGTAATACTTTATGATTTTTTTTTAGGTTAAAGAAAGACCTGATGTGGGAGTTTATATCAAAGATTTATCAGCTTACGTGGTAAATAATGCTGATGATATGGATAGAATTATGACTCTAGGCCACAAAAATCGTAAGTATAATGCATAACTGGGATTAAATATGTGTTGAGTAGGCTGGTTTATAAGTAACTGGTGTGGCATTTTACCCAAAAAGATTTGGATTTTTAGCTTTCTTGAAAACACTTCCTCTTTGTTTACTTACTGTATAAGAGAGAGCATTGTGAATGAAAAAAATCAGATTGATTTCCATGCTGACTACAATTTTATTTTTCAGTAATACTGTATCTGAAATTCTCATGTAACTGTCTCAGTTTAACTATAATAATACTATAATACAGGTAACATTTATTGATTTCCTACAATATGGTAAGTGCTTTATAAGAATTTCATTTAATCCTCAGAGTCAACTATGAAAGTATTAAATTTCTATTTTGTGATGAAGGAAACGGAAACTTAGTTTATTGTTTTTTTTACAACTTAGGTCTCTTAAATTTAAGACCTAAACACATCATTGTTACAAGGGAAAGTAATTATAATTCATATGAGAAATAAAAGACCTTTGTTAGGTTAGTAAGAGTAAAAATAAAGTGGAAGTTGAATAGTATGAATATTTCAGAGGCAGAATTAAATTTTATTGACTAAGAAGAAAGGGGTATAAACTTTTAAATACTAGCTAACATTCCATTAACAAAATAGTAAAAGGAGTAACTGTTCATGGACATGTTTGATATGAATATTCAGGTAGAGGTGTTTTGAAATAAGGATCTAGTCTACTAGAAGTTATATGTGGGAATCTGCAAAGAGGTAGTAAATGAAACTTGGGTAACAAGTGAATATGAAGAAATGCGTAGAGAATAATTTTAAGGGGAGTAGGTGGGAAGAACTAACATTTAGAAGATATTTTTGAAGGATGTCATAGGAAAAATAGTACAATCTAGTTTTCATTCCCTGCTTGAAAAGAAAACCACTTTAACACTAAGAATTTATTATAACCTCTTCATGTTACTGTAATTTTCATTCCTACCAATCAGCATCACATCCCAGAGCCATTCCATGACAAGAACTTCCTTAACATTAATTGCCTAATACTGAGGAAAATGATTATCTGTCCTAAGGTGTAACTTATTTCTTTATAATTTGAAAAAGAGGGTAGGGCTTCTGTTCATGAAATATTCAAACAGGACAAGACAATTATAACTGAATCTACTCTCCCAACCCTATTTGTCAGCTGTTAGAAGTTTGCCAGTGGACATACATACTGTATAGCAGAAAAGCAGAATTCTGTAACTTTCAGAACTAACATTTGATGTGTTGGTCCTAGTCCTTTTAGTGCTTTATTATTACTACACAAATGGCATATCATTTATGGAAGGATTACCAAATATCAAACTCAGACACTTTATCTTATTGTGCTTCCAGCCTCCTGACATACATAAGCAATTTGCTCAGGTTCACTCAGCCAGAATTTAAAACCTGCTATTTACATCTTATATGTGACTTCAAAGCTCAACCTTAACTCTTGAACTTTCTAGTTTAACATAGCTTCAGTATTTCCCAGAATATTAACTAGTAATTTATTGGTAATTTGACCTCTTATTTTATAGATATGCCATGAGTTACTTTCCTGTTTACCTGCTATTAGAAATAACCCTGTGATTAACTTTTTTTTATCAAAATTTGTCCTGATTTTGGATACCTTATTGCCATTAGTTACTTAAAAATAAAGATAACACTCAAGGAGGAAAAAAAAATTAACACACATAGAGCACTGGCAAATAATGGCTGCTGGTATACTTCTGATTTCATATAGAATGAATAGTTTCTATTGGTCGAAGGAGAACAGAGATAGTATTAAAATACAACAAGGGCAGTCTAAAACAGCGTTTGAAAGTAGAGCTCATGTTGCTAAAATTAGCAGACAGACTGAGAAAAAAATCGAAAAGGAAGGCTGACACAGAAAAGCTAGCTTATTACTAAAGTTGGGTTTTTGAGGGACTCTAGGTCTTACTGATAATGGGATCACATCTTCAGTCAAATTTTTCAAAAAAATTATACACATATATAATGTATAATGCAATTTTTTAATCCTTTAATTTCTAAAGCACCCTTATTCACATTTGTCTGACATGATAGTACATAAATATTCTTTTACAGTAGGCCAGGACACCTATGGTAATACAAAACCAGATGCAAAATAGTGTTAGAGACTTCTTTGCCTAAAATCAAAAGACTAATTATGCATGTATTTTTTAATTCTGTTTGTTCCCATTCAATCTTTTTGATTAAACTTTCTGTAATTCTCTGTCCTTCCTATATTCCACTGTTGTGAACGACATCACTATCCATTCACCCAAGCCAAGTCTCCTTATTCACCATCTCCCCACATCAAGTGCTAACAAGACATTTTTCAAAATCTCTTGGAATTGATCTCTTCCCTCTTGCTACTCCATGTCTTTGTAAATCTGATGTGTGAGATTTTAATTGTGTTCTTGCAGTTTTCTCATCTTTGGTCAGGGGTAACCGATCCAAGTCTGTTTGCTTTTGGAATTTTTGTATCATGGTCATAGTCTTATTCAAAGTACCACAAATGAGGGGGCCTCCCTTGTGGCGCAGGGGTTAAAGACACAGCGCTATCAAGCTATAGCCAGCCACTGCAACATGAATTCGATCCCCGGCCAGGGAACAAACCCTCACGGCACAGCAGACCTCTCCTGTCTCGCCCGCTACTCTCCTCAGCAGTGTATTTCAATCTGCCTGTTCTCCCCACTCTGTCCCTGGTCAATTCTCTCATCCCGTGCCCCACCACCACACCTCTGACCAACACCCAAGTTCTTGTATGCATAAATCTTTAAAAACAAAAAATGAAGTAGCACAAGTGCGGCTTTTAGTCACTTTCTGTTTAACAGCTGGTTTACAGAGTTTGATATAGAGACTTTATTGCTACAGTAAATAGTAGAATGGTATTTTTTGCCTGTTGAATCAGGATTATTATTGATTCCTCTTCCTTCTTGAATTGAATGTAATCCAGATCAGAGTCAGCTTCCTGGAACATCAGTTCCAATTTATCAACCTTTACTTCAGTGTTGAATAGTTGACACTCTTCCCCAAAACTTAGTCTAAGTATTTTGTCCAAGGAAATACACAACTTAGTGGCAGAGAGAGTACTTAAACCTAGACCACTAGTTAGCATTAACCAGGCACTATGTTGCCTTCCTTCAGTTCACAAGAAAAATTGAAGCAAAATTAAATTGTTACTGTTTTTAATACTTGTTTCAAATTTTTTCCCCAAAGAACAGAAAACTTCAGCAATATTTAGTATACAGGTATCCCAAGTGTAGTACTAGTGATGCTGGTAGTTGCAATTAGAGATGAGAGGTAAAGGATAAGAACATAGGGAGTAAACTTTTTTTTTTAAGTTTTTATATGTAGACTATAAATCTGCAAACTCAAGAAAATTAAACAAATTTAAAATAATCTATTGCATTCTTATAAACCGAGTAATAGAAAAAGGCCAACTCAACAGGAAAATGAATAAAAGATATGTATAAAAAGATTATCTGTAAAAGAACTGTACACAATAGTAAGCATATGAAAAGATGTTCAACCTCACACATAATCAGGAAAATGAATGTTAAGACAATAGTGAGAGCTACTTCACTCTTCAGTTTGTATGATAGGATATCCAGGTCAATGGAGCCCTGAAGAAATGGGCACTGTGAGGAAATGTGAAGTGGGATGGCTGTTGTCAAGGATAGTACACCTGTATTGTTGAAATTTTAGAAATTTCCGTTATCCTGGATATATTAGTCTAGAAAATATTAACCAAAAAAAAGCCTATTAAACATTATTTATAATAAGAAGTTTGCACACTTTAACTATCACTAGAATGCTAGTTACATGTACATTATAGTACAAAAATACTATGGATTATAATGAAGCTGTTGAAAACAATGACTTAAATCTGTATCTAGACACCCAAAAGATTTGTAAGGTATTGGGCCTCCCCGGTGGCGCAGCGGTTGAGCGCTGGGTTGCGAAGCTGCGCGCGGCCTCTGCGGCGCCGGTTCGATCCCCGGCTGCTCCCGGCCACCAGAGGAGGGTCCCACATGGCGCGCAGACCTCTCCTGCCGCCCGCTGCTCCCCTCAGCAGTGTACTTCGGTCCTTCTGCCTGCTCTGCTCCCCGCTCTGGCTCTGGTGAATTCTCTCGCCCTCCCGCGCTTCTGACTGTACCCAGTGCATGTATAAACAAAAAACAAACAAACAAACAAACAAATAAATAAAGCATGCCTCTATAAAAAAAAAAAAAAAAAAAAGATTTGTAAGGTATATCATTGGGTGAGAAAAGAAGCAGATTATAGAGCAGTATGTACCGTATCTTATTTATAGTATAAAAACACAAGTTATTAAAGTATATATTTGGACAATATATCTGTGTGTCTCCACATTTGTATATGTGAAATAACAAAATGAAAATATTTTTAATAGTGTTTACTTTTAGGAAAGGGGAAGTAAAATTGGGAAAAATGGATGTAGGGAGTTTCATTTTGTTTTTTGTGTGTTTGTATTTTCAAATTTTCGTGCAGAGAATATGCTCATGTATTGCTTATTTAAACAATTTTAAACAAAATTCCATTCACAATAGTGACTAAAATCTCTCATTATGAGAATCAGTTTAACATGGTTTGTGAGAGTTATTCAAGGAAAACTAAAAATTTCCAGTGAGAAAATAAAATGAAAATAAAGGAATCTGAAGACCCGAGATAACAGTGAGAAAAAAATTCTTTTTTTTTTTTTTAAAGATTTTTTATTTATTCATACATACAAGAACTGGGATACAGGTCAAACACCCAGGAGGGTGAGAGGATTCACCAGAGACAGAGTGGGGAACAGAACAGGCAGACTGAGTGAAACACACTGCTGAGGGGAGCAGCGGGCGAGACAGGAGAGGTCTGCTATACCATGTGGGATTCTCCCTGGCAGTCTGGGATCAAACTGGTACTGCAGAGACTGCAGACAGCTTCACAGCGCTGCGCTCAACTGTCTGCGCCACCAGGGGAGGCCTAAGGAAAAAAATAATTTTTTTTTTTAAAGATTTATTTATTTATACAAGCACTGGGTACAGTCAGAAGCATGGGAGGGTGAGAGAATTCACCAGAGCCAGAGCGGGGAGCAGAGCAGGCAGAAGAACTGAAGTACACTGCTGAGGGCAGCAGCAGGCGGCAGGAGAGGTCTGGCTGCCATGCGGGACCCTCCCCCAGTGGCCGGGGAGCAGCTGGGGATTGAACCAGCGCTGCAGAGGCTGCAGGCAGCTTCACAACCCAGTGCTCAACCACTCTGCCACCGGGGAGGCCCCGAAAAAAATTCTTAATGAGTAAATGAAGATCAAGAACAATCTCCAAGTAGAAAAGTTCTGACTTAGAAGTATAAATATATTGAAATATAGTAAAATAATTAAAAGGAATATAGTGAAGCAGGAAAATGTGGAATACAAGGTGCTACTTAAAATAGATCAAAATTGATACAACTACAGGATTCATACCCATTTGTACAGTTTATAATATAAAAGTAGTTAATTTTATACTTAAAAAAATAAGTCAGCTCTCAGCTAAACACCTAACATGCCTAGCAACTAAAATGCAAATTTAAATTAGTCAGGTACACTTACATTGTGGCTATCATTGTAAATTGTTAATATTTCTACAAACCAGTGTTTTTAAGCCTTTGAAACAATAAACTTCCTCTTTGAAAAATTATCTTTTTCAATAGATCATCCAAACATGATAATCAAATTCAGAACACAAGTTTGTATTGAAAAACAAGTCTTTGTCATACCCTTTTGTCTCCGTTACCTTGTTCCCTTTTCTGGTGACAATTTCTAGTAGTTTCTCATGTGCTCTTCTTGATATAGTGTATGTGTGCCTGAGTGTTTGTGTTTTTAGAGAGAGTACTTAACCTTTTTTTTAATAGTTCAGATAATAGTACTCTATTCACTTAATATTATCTTGGAGATCACTTTACATTAGCACCCACTAGGACATACACAGGCATTTAAAAATAATATAGCGGGCCTCCCCGGTGGCGCAGTGGTTGAGCTCTGGGTTGCGAAGCTGCCCGCGGCCTCTGCAGCGCCGGTTCGATCCCCGGCTGCTCCCCTGCCACCGGAGGAGGGTCCCACAGGGCACACAGACCTCTCCTGCCGCCCGCTGCTCCCCTCAGCAGTGTACCTCGGTCCTTCTGCCTGCTCTGCTCCCCGCTCTGGCTCTGGTGAATTCTCTCACCCTCCCACGCTTCTGACTGTACCCAGTGCATGTATAAACAAAACAAAACAAACAAATAAATAAATAAATAAAACGTGCCTCTATAAAAAAAAATAAATAAAAATAATATAGCATTTCATTCTATGAATCTGCCATTATTTATTGACCCAATCATTTATTAATAGATTTTTGAGTTGTTTTCAGTTTTCCTTTTCTTTTTTTTTAAAGATCTATTTATTCATGCATACAAAAACCGGGGTACAAGCCAGATGTGCAGGAGGGTGCGAGGATTCACCAGAGTCAGAGTGGGGAACAGAACAGGCAGACTAACTGAAATACACTGCTGAGAGGAGCAGCAGGCGAGTCAGGAGAGGTCTGCTGCGCCATGTGGGTATCTCCACGGCAGACTGGTATTGAACCCGCACAGCAGAGACTGTGGATAGCTTCACAGCGCTGTGCTCAACCGCCTGTGCCACCAAGGAGACCCTGTTTTCAATTTTTCTATTATCAGTAATACTGCAGTAAATATTATATATACATGAGTCTATAAATATTTTGACAAACATTAAAACTGGAGTAATTTTTGGTTATTCATATTGTGATATGTCAGTAGATTGGAACAAAGAGTTTGCTTGAGTGCTGCACACTCTTCTCTCCTAGGAATTGTGAAATTCAGTGGAGGTCACTTTTAGCAGCATTGATTTGTTTTCACAACCAGAAATAGTATGTTTTACTTATACTGTAAAAGCAATACTACTAAACTATTTCATGGTTTTTCAGTTTGCTTATTTTCTTCCATTCCAAAATGAAAAACACTGTTACAGTGTGATTTGATTATCACATAGTTATGTAAAACTAGTCTTAACCTTTGACCTAGTAATTTCAGTTTGGAAGGTACATCCTAATGATAAATAAATGGAAATAATAAATCCTAAAGAAAAAAAATGAGATATCTGCTTAAAGATGCTCATACTAGTATTCCTTATAAGGACCTAAAATGGAGGGGAAGGTGGAAATCCCAGATATTTCTCAGTATAGGAATAGTAAAATTAATTTCAGTAAAATTTTCAAGTTGTTTTTACATGGATATGCACATAGGAGATAGTGTTAAGTGGAAAAAACCCAGAAGATAAAATTAGACCTAACATTCCATGAAAACATGCATGTGTATCTCTAGTGATCAGATGATTTGAAGTGGTGTCTGATTTAATAGTTTTTTATATTTTTGGAAAAATTCATAGATTCACAATTTGGTTTTAAAAAGAATAGAATGATATCATAATATGGAGTAACAAATCATTGCACTTTCACACATTTTTTATTTAATCAGGCTTTATTAACTTACAGTTTGGTTATCTAACTTTTAATATAGTTATTTGCCAGTAAAGAATATCCTTTTTTTTTTTTTTTTTTTAACAAGCACTTATAGTCAGATGAGAGAATTCAGTACACTGCTGATCTGCGCGCCATGCCAGCAGCCAGGGATCAAACCGGCGCTGCAGAGGCTAGCTTTGCTCAACAGCTGCACCACTGGGGAGGCCCCAAGAATATCCTTTTAACATCAAAAACTTTTAAAATCAAAACTTGCATGGAGAAGTTCTCCATGAAAATACAGTAGGGAGTAATGTTGGCATTGGGTAAAATTAACATGTTTTTTAAAGTACTTGGAAATTTTGGGGCCCTCCCTGGTGGCACAAGCGGTTAAGCACCGCACTATCAAGCAATCAGCAGCCTCTGCAGCATGAGTTCAATCCCCGGCCAGCCAGGGAGCTACCCACATGGCACAGCAGACCTCTCCTGACTCGCCTGCTGCTCCTCTCAGCAGTGTACTTCATTCAGTCTGCCTGTTCTGTTCCCCACTCTGTCTCTGATGAATCCTCTCACCCCCCACACCTCTGGCCTGTACTCCAGCTCTTGTATGCATAAATAAATAAATCTTTAAAAAAAATTAAAAAATAAAGTACTTGGAAATTTAAGAAAGATCCAGTGCATGCATATTGTGAAAAGCAAAGCAGACTTTGTTGACAGTTTATTTATGTAAAATACTTACATACAAGTACTTATGTTTTGAGTGGATGTTTTTGTTTTATAGGGATTGGATCATTATGTATTCTGCTATAACTTTTTCCCTCAGTTCATATTACAAGCATCTTTCCATGTCATACAGATCAACCTTATTTTTTTAAAAGACTACTTAGTAATCCATAGTCTGACTGTTGTATAGCCACTCCTATTGGTTGTTTCTGATCTGCTGTTGTGAACAATGCTGTACTGAGTGTCTTTGTGTCACCTAATGCATATGTGCAAGGGTTCTGTGGTTTAGAGAGCCAGAACGTAATACTTTATAGAGACACCTGAATCAACAATCATTTTTCATGTTTTTCATGATATGTATTTTTCTGTAAACTATTTTTTAGCCAGTGAAATTAAGTATTACTTGAAGTGAAGTATTTTTGTTCTGTGAAATTATCTCTTTGATATAAGAAACATTATAAATTCCTTTCTTTTCAACATAAACTGTCAGATAAATTTCTAGTAATTGCTAATTGTGCTTTTATGAGTTAGCCATACTCTGGCTTTTAGTTGTGATGGCTTATGCATTTTAAACCATTGTGGATATTTTATTATTTTTAAAGGACTTCCTGGTGTTATACTTAAAAACATTTCCTTTATTCAAGGTTCTGTTGGTGCAACAAATATGAATGAACATAGTTCTCGTTCCCATGCCATCTTTACAATCACTATAGAATGCAGTGAAAAAGGTGTTGATGGTAACATGCATGTCAGGATGGGGAAACTTCATCTTGTTGATCTTGCTGTAAGTAACATGATACTACTTACGGAATAACTCTTGTGACTTTTATAAATGGACAAAAATTCAGGTGAAGAAATTTGACTTCTGATTCTTTTTAAGTTGTTTACTTTTGTCTGTGTTTATTATTTATTGTGGAATTTTTCTAGCCTGTCATTTTTCACATCTACCTCTAGTTTCTTCCTCCCTGCCTGTTATTTTCAGGAGAACTCCTGGTATCACATTCGCTGTTTTACTGTTTAATTTAACTTTTTTTACACTTTGGGAAGATTACTCTTTACTTTTTTTGTTTTAGTTTAATTTCTGTCTCTGTTGTTAGGGCTCAGAAAGACAAGCAAAAACTGGAGCTACTGGACAGCGCCTGAAGGAAGCTACAAAAATCAATCTTTCGCTTTCCACCCTTGGTAATGTAATTTCTGCGTTGGTTGATGGAAAGAGCACTCATGTACCTTATCGTAACTCTAAATTGACTCGTCTTCTTCAGGATTCCTTAGGCGGAAATTCAAAAACCATGATGGTAAGATTTAATTGGTGGTATGGGGGCCTCCCCGGTGGCGCAGCGGTTGAGTGCTGGGTTGCGAAGCTGCCCGCGGCCTCTGCGGCGCCGGTTCGATCCCCGGCTGCTCCCCGGCCACCGGAGGAGGGTCCCAGATGGCGCGCAGACCTCTCCTGCCGCCCGCTGCTCCCCTCAGCAGTGTACTTCGGTCCTTCTGCCTGCTCTGCTCCCCGCTCTGGCTCTGGTGAATTCTCTCACCCTCCCGTGATTCTGACTATACCCAGTGCATGTATAAAGAAAACAAACAAACAAACCAATAAATAAATAAATAAAACATGCCTCCTAAAAAAATAAATAAATAAATAAAAATAATTGGTGGTATGGTTATCATCAGGCAAATTTAAGATGCCTGTTTATGCCAATAATTAATATGCATAGCATTTTGAAAACTTGAATGTTTTATTTCTTTGATTTGTAATTATTTTTCTAGCATACCATGTATACTAGCCCATAATATTGTTTGGAAATACGTATGCTTGATGCTTGCTTTTTCAAAAAGATCAGAGTGTAAATGTGGTTCAGAAGTTCTTTTTGATATAATAATAATGTTGGTATTAATTTCCCTTTGTCAAGTATAATATTTTATTTTGTATTCCTAATCCAACAGTGTGCAAATATTGGGCCAGCAGATTACAATTATGATGAAACTATCAGTACATTACGTTATGCCAATCGTGCTAAGAATATTAAAAATAAGGCTAGAATTAATGAAGATCCAAAAGATGCTTTGCTTCGTCAGTTTCAGAAAGAAATAGAAGAACTGAAAAAAAAACTTGAAGAAGGTAACTTTTCTCAAAATTTTAATCATTGCATTGGCTAACAGTATTTTTCTTAGTCACTATATGTTCTGATAAAAACACCTATTCAGAATTCTGTGCGCCTCTAACATTGATATCTAAAGGCATATTTCTGCAAAGTAACTTGATACATGCTTTAGCATTTTCATATTAAAATCAAGTAAAATTATGTAATCTTTTTATAAGTGATTAAAAATCATTTAATTTGAACCTCCAGGTCAATTCCCATGCTGTAAATTTCATATGGCCGTTTATTAAATAACTAACGCATTAAGGACTTTATTTCCCTATTTTCTCCCTGAGTTGTACATTTTCCTTATTTCCTTTTCCCTTGTAAATAAACCTTTTATTAACCTTTTGTGTATGCCTGTAGTGGAGTATTAATAAGTCCCTTGTAAGCGCACGGGTGAGGACCCACAGCCAGGCAACCCGTTCAATATCGGGGCTGCCCTATAACAATGAGGATAAGGTACTTACCATCATAAAGTACTCACTGACTCCTCACCTTCAAACTAAGAACAGATCCTTTTTGATTGACTTATGGGTTTTTTGCATAACAGAGGTCTTTAAAATGGCCTCTTTTCAGTCTTTGGAAAACTGATTAGATAACATGAAATCCAGAGATGCAGGCATTGCAAACATATGGGGAAGATACTCATTCAGTGCATTTGAATAAGGTTACTGTGGGGGAAAGCAGTAATTGAGCTATTTCTGAGATTATGAAATCTGGTGTTTCAATTGTGACCACTAGGTGGTATTTATAGTCAGTGTGTTTTAAAGATTTGATATTTCTTAGCTATGCTAATGTTGAGTTAATTTCTTTATTTTGCTGACTTTTAACATTTTTTACTTTGGTAAAATGTACCTAACATAAAATTTTCCATTCTATTTTTAAGTGGACAATTTTGTGACATTAAGTACATTCACATTGTTCTTTAACCCTTACCTCCATCCAACTCTAGAACTCTAATCATCCAGAATGAAACTTTGTACTCATTGAACACTAACTCCCTAGTCTTCTCTCTTCCTCTGCCCCTGGTAGCCACACTTTTGCTTTCTTTCCATCTTTATGATTTTTACTATTGTAGGTACCTCATTTAAGTAGAATCATAGAATATTTATTCTTTTGTGTCTGTCTTGTTTCACTTAGTATCATGTCCTCCAGTTTGATCCATAATTGTAACATGTTAGGATTTCCTTGCTTTTTAAGGCTGAGTAATATTCCATTGTATGTATAAACTACCTTTGGTTTCTTCATGCTTGGGTTGCTTCAACATTTTCACCATTGTGAATAATGCTACTATGAATCTGGGTGTAGAAATATCCTTTGATTCCTTGCTTTCAAGTCTTTTGGGTATTGAGTGAAATACCCAGAAGTGGAATTGCTGAATCACTTGGTAATACTAACTTTATTTTTAACACATTTCATTTTATTTATGCTCTTATGACATTTGTAGAAACAAATCCAGTTAATTAGTTGATCATATAAACAAAAAATAGACAAAAACATTAAAAGAATAATTTTAAAATCTTTTTATTTTGGAATAATTTTACATTTTATGAAAAACTTACAAACGTAGTAAAGAGAGTTCCTCTGTCCCGTGCCTTCCTCTGATATTAACATCTTAGATAATCATAGTACAATTATTGAAACCCAGTCCATCCATGTGTCACAAATAGCACTAGTTCATTCATTTTTTATAGATAGTGCATTTTCTTTATCCATCTACCCATCCATTGGCACTTAGATTGTATCTTGGCTGCAGTGAACATGGGAGCGCATATATCTTTTTGAATTAGTGTTTTCATGTTCTTCAAATAAACATTCAGATCATATAGTAGTTCTTTTTCGATCTTTTTTTTTTTTTTAAATCAGGTTGTATCAATTTTGGCCATTAGCTCTTTCAGGATAATTTCTGTATTTTAGCAAGCTTGCATCAGTTCTGTTTCTTTCCTTTTTTTTTTTTTAAGCACTCTTCTTTCTGACACCATAGAAAGTTCATTTTATTTGCCCTTAGAAGCAGTGATTTCTTTCTGATAGCTTTCTTTGGAGAATGTTATTTCCAGATTTGGGCATTAGGTGTGGTCATTGCTAACAGAATGTTATTGTTTCTCAGCCTAGAGAACAGAGGAATTTAATGAATTCTTTCTTCCAAGACTCTATGATCTCTTTCCATTCTTTATTTACAGGCTCAGATATTACCTTGTAATTAGTGTGTATTTTACTTTTACACTTGATCTTAGCCAAAAGGCTGAGAAGCGATGTGTGTATTTTACTTTTAAAGTTAACATAATCTTTATATAAAATATGTACTTTTGAAATAGCCCTTGTGATATAATCCTGAAAGTGGGATCACTGTACTATTTGACAGTTTAATGGCTCTTAAAAATACGTAGGTTGAATGAAAATCTTAACGAAAACTGAGAAGAAAGTGCTCCTCAAAAGTGATCACATTTTTAAAGATTTTAATATGTTGTTTTAAAAATATATTTTAAACTGTACTTAAACTGATCATTTGAAATTTTAAGTGGATCAAAATTTAATTTCTCTTTAAGAATTAAAAAAAAAATCCTCCATGTAACATCATGATCACTTTCTAAGGTTTGGAAATCTCATATACTGCCTAAGAATATTAAAATAAGGTCTGTTTACTGCAACAAACTAATGAAGAAAGTAGACATATTAAGACATTTCCTTAATAGCTGATTATCTGGTACAGAATAAAAATCATTCTATCAAATTTCTTTTCAAGGGGAAGAAATATCAGGCTCAGATATCAGTGGGTCTGAGGAAGAAGATGATGAAGAGGGTGAGGTTGGAGAAGACGGAGAGAAAAGGAAAAAAAGAAGGGGTAAGCTCTTTTTAGTGTTCCCGAAATTAACTGAATTTTCTGCCTTAATGATACATTCCTGAAGGAGTTGAGTGCATGCCTTTTATTTTTCCATCTTTAGTTGTGGTAGCAGTTTGAACAGAGGAAGTATGCCATATACCTGGTTAATTTTGCATTATTTTTTTCTCCTATATTGATGTCCTATTTATAACTGAACAGAATACCGTATGTCCTGTTTTTGAAAACTTAGGATTAGAAAAACCTATGATAGTTGACATACATTTTAAAATTTCATATAGTGTTTTATGCTGACTTTCATTTGTGTTAAGGGCCTAAATTTTTTAGGGAAATATGACTTTTTCTCATGCTTGATTAGGCTTTAAAGGTTATTGGATTTTTAAATAAATTTGCATGAGTTTATTTTTTAATTTTTTTATCTATGTAAAATGTACTCTCATTCTCACCTTGTTATGGGGCATTTGTTGACAAGTGTGAATGCAAAAGAGAAATATACTATAATGGCTTACATTTCAAACCTTTTACCCTAAATATTTATTTCAGAACTCTCTTCCATTAACATGGATCATTGTTTTCAAGCTGGTGCATATTTTGCTTGTCTTAATAAAATGATTTTGTTGAAAATAAACCTGTAAGTGATTGATTACAGGCCTTAGGTTTAAAACCTAGAAAGATTCTATAACTTAAAAAGACAGTAAAAGCATTATTAGAGCAAGAATTGGCAAAATATGGTCTGCTGGCCAAACCTGCCCACTACCTGGTTTTGTAAATAACATCATATGAAACAGCCATGCTCATTTATGTGTGGTTAGTGGCTGCTTTCACTTGAGACTGCATGGCCTGCAAAACCTGAAGTGCTTATTTTCTACCCCTTTATGCAAAATGTTTGTAAACCCCAGGCTTAGATAAATGATTTTGTGTCCATACATCTTTTTTCACAGAGTAAACCATTCAAAGTTGATACCAGATTTATTAAAAACAAAATTTTAAGTAGAAAAAAATGCCATTGCGTAATATGTTAAAATACTTAATAGTAACATACTTTCCTTCCAGGCTTAAATACTTAATGTTCAGTGTACTTTTCAAAGTTTTACCATGAAAGTTTAACTATACATAATTTTATCTGATAGTTTGACGTTTCAGAAGGCAGTAGTGACATTGGGGACAAACCAGTCTCTATAGTGAATGGTAATATATCATTCCTGTTACTTGAATTGTGTATGACTTTAAATTTTAAAATTCAGTTCCCTTTAACTTACCAACCTAAATAGTTTAAATAGACTTAAACTGTCACCAAATGACTTTATTTTTTATTCTTATTTTAATCTCCTGAAGTTTTAGGTAATAGTGGAGTTTGCCCACAGTAGATCTTTAAAGGAATACAGTTTCTAATTTCCATGTATAATGTTGTAAAATAAAATACTGCATAGACTACCAAGACTAGTTTTAAAGGAAAGTAAGTTTTGGTTCTTTACTACAAAGCTTAGTTATCCTTTAAAATTCTTTCTCTGGAACTGAATTTTTCTCTGTATATGTGTTCATTTTCTTGTTTCCTCTTTCTTTGGTTCCCGTTGGGCTCATTTCTTTGTCTTCCAGGCAGTAGCAGCAGCAGTAGTTCAGACTCCACATGTTCTGTCATAGAGAAACCTCTGGATAAGTTCTTGCCTAGTGAGTGGTAGCTCTTCAATTCTCTAACAGAGCTTTTGCTTTTTCATAGCTCATGGGCTTCATTTGAGAATTGCTGCACTGCTTCCTTTCCATAACTAAACAATACATGTTGAATTTCTTAGTAGAACAAAGCATGTGATTACTCCCATCCTCCTCCTTCATTGCTTCCAGTTAAACATAATTGTTAAAACATATGCTTATGCTGTTGTTTTGGACAATGGAAGAGAGATTCATGCTTTTGCAATTGAGATAATGTAAAGAGAGCTAGTAAGCTGTATAAAATAATTTTTTTGGTTTCTTTTTGCTCCATGATAAATTGCTAATTCTGTTCAATATAAGAGACATGTAATAACCAGTCCTGAATTTCTAAACTTATACATTTTATTAGGAAGCATACCAGTGCCCATTATAACATGTCTTAGAATTGTAAAGACCTTATACTTTGGTGTCCTATTTTAAGGGATACTTGAGATTGACAGCTCCCAAATAAAGAAAAATGTAAAGTTTGAAGCAAGTAAAGATAAATTTAATAGCATTTTATTTTAAATGGCTGTTTATCCCTATTTCTAAATTGACTGATTTTGAGAAACTTTCTAAGGTCATGATTAGAGAATTTAGATCCCAAGGAAGTTTTTAATGTAGAATCTACCTAGACTTGTTTCAAACCTAAAGACTTCTTCTTAAACCTTAATTCATTTAATTAAGTTGGAAGTATTGTAAATTTTATTATTTTATTTTTGGAGGAAAAGGGAATTGATGGTCTCTTGTATTAGTTTGCAGCTTACTGTCTTTTAAAGCATTATCTAGAAACTTACCATCTCCAAAACTAATAACAAAAACAATTGGTTATTTTTCTTATGCTTTTAGCTTTCTAGAGGAAGAAGATGAAGAATAATAATTGTTTTTCTCTGTTGTCAATTCTTATGTTTTATCAGGACATTGATTTCAGAGGATAGCTTGTAAATACATAAAATTGTCTTTAGAAACTATGTAGAGGTATTTTGTATTATAAATTGTGAAATATGAGAAAATATCTGAGTGGGAGGTATTATAGTTAATTTTCTGTTTTAAAAGCTTTATTCTTAAAGAAAGTTACATGAAAGTATGTTGTTAGGTTTGCTATACTTTGTTAAATTCAATCAGTTTTAGTTCTAATTTATGTAACTGGAACATAAATTGTTTCGTGATGTGTGTTAGTGAAATGGAAAGATGGTTGTCCCAGCGTGAATTGCTGTGTGTAACTTGTATGTACCTTCCCTTTTAAATTTATGAATAACCTTTATAATGTGTCCTTTGAATCATCAATTGGTGATTTACTTCTGTAGAATCATTATATAATTACCCTTAACAATCTAATAAGTCAAATACAAGTTTGTTGTTATACAGATGTATTTTACTTTATGCAGTAAACTTTTTTCATCTAAAAATTGTTTATATGTCAAGTTGAGAAGCCAAAAACATTAGGAAAACTTGCAGATTTAAAAACTCTTCAGTCTGTTAAATCCTTTGTTAATCAAATACACCGAAAATTACTATCATTTATCTGTTTTGTTACTATCATTTATCTGGTTGTTGTTTTGTGTTGCCTTTTCTTGAAGGGGGAGGGACACCTTTAATGAATCCTTACAATAGAACAATACTGAATTGGGAACATTTGAAACTGGATAAAGTAAATTTTGCTGTTTTTAAAATAACTAACTTTTAAAGTTGGCTTAACTTTGTTTTGCCCATTTAGATTATTTCCATGGTCTTAACAGGTTCCCAATTTCATGTCTTCTTTTAGTATAACCACATGGTGATGAATTGTTAAATTTGCACGAGTTTGGGAGTCAATGTGAGCAGTGGTGATTGTTTAGAACTGAAATCTTAGACTAAATCTTATCCTTGTATATAAATTACATCTTTGTGTTGAATGTGCCTTTCTCTGTATAAAACTGCTCTATTTCAGTTTTGATAATTATTTCTACACTTATACTATAAGTGAATGTTATTATACATTTTTCTTTGTTTTACAAAAGAAATAATGTTTTTCTTTTCCCTCCTCATCTCTGTGCATATGCTTCCTGTCTACGATTTGCTTACTACTTCTTATTGAAAGATCAAGCAGGTTGGTGTGATTGATTTGCACTCCACATGGTACAATTATTTAAACTATAAACAACTTTGTTATTTAACTACTTTTTTTTAATTCAGAAATTTTTTTTACAAGGTAAGTATCTTCTGTATTTAAAAAAATCTTTAGTTTTTTTTTTAAAGCTTTTTTCCCCTAAATTTTAAAGCCCATTAAGCCAAATTTTGGAACTACAAATATAAATGATTTCATATTCAAGTGATCTTTTTTTTTTTAAGAATAATTTTTTTTTTAAAAGATTTATTTATACAAGCACTGGATACAGTCAGAAGCGCGGGAGGGTGAGAGAATTCACCAGAGCCAGAGCAGGGAACACAACAGGCAGACTGATGAAGTACACTGCTGAGGGGAGCAGTGGGCGCGGCAGGAGAGGTCTGCGCATCATGTGGGACCCTCCCTGGCATACGGGGATCCAACCGGTGCTGCAGAGGCTGCGGGCAACTTCACAGCCCAGCGCTCAACCGCTGTGCCACCAGGGGAGGCCCACAAGTGATCTTTTTTTAAAGGCCAACTTGTTACTTATGCCCTTGGGTGTTCATGAAATGAAAATGAAATTAATAAACACTTAACTGAAATTTTCCCCTTTAATTTTTCCTTTCCAGAATTCACTTTACTGTTTTGGTTTGAACACATTGCAAAGGGCCATTATAAAAATACTACTAATCTTGTTTGGCTTAATTACTTGTTTGGCTTAATTACTTTGTGATATAATTTTTTTTAAAGATTTATATGAAGTTTTTGCTGAATTCTACCATGTAGAAATCCTATTATAAGGATTTTTGTTTTGTTTGATTTAGGGTTAGAGGTGACTTTTTTTTTAAATTTATTTTTTATTTATACAAGTGCTGGGGTACAGGCCAGATGCACGGGAGGCGAGAGGATTCACCAGAGACAGAGCGGGGTACAGAACAGGCAGACTGACGAAACACACTGCTGAGGAGAGCAGCAGGCAAGACAGGAGAGGTCTGCCGCACCATGTGCTGCACATGTAGGATTCTCGCAGGCTGGCCGGCATTGAACCCGCGCTGCAGAGGTTGTGAACAGCTTCACAGCGCTGCACTCAACTGCCTGCGCCATCAGGGAGGCCTTGTTAGAGGTGACTTATAATGATGTCACATTTTGAAATATCTGGTTAGGAGAGTTGGTACATACATTTAGCTTAATATATGATTTGGAAAGAACATAATGTATTACAAAAATTCTGGCAAGAATAATATGTCATTTAAATATTATGCTTTTGAAACTGAACCTAGCTATATATGCATGATTATCTTTATGAAACTGTTATGAGAGCACAAGATTTTTGCTGCTGAAGCTTCAGTTTAAAATATTGCCTAAATGGTTTTGAGTAAAGAGTGCAATTCAGTCATAGTAGTAATACATCAATAGCCATGGGCTTTTGTATTACTTACTGTACATGTAATCTTTTTATTTCACTGCCAGTTGAGAGGTTTGGAAACAGTTTTTCTAACTGTTAATAAAACAATAGAACTTTAGAAGCCTAAAAACTTAGTACATATGTTGATCAGATCATTTCCTCTATACTGTTAGTATCCATGACTTCACACATTCTTCTTGTGTTTTTTTTTTTTTTGGTCTTAACATAGTTCCCATTTTTTTCTGTAAATATTTGTAATTCTGAGGTGGAAAGGAAGTTGGAAGTTTTTAAAATGCATGCACTTTATTCCTGATCTTATTACCCTCCCCCGAGTTTTCTAAGAAATAATATAATCAGTAAGAAATCCTTCCTAGGAATTCACTAAACTAGGAGTTAAATTATTTTTTTCAATTATTTTTTAACAGTGTAATTTTGAACATTCAACACAGGTGCCTGTGCCAGAGAAAGCAATGTGATCAGGTCTAAATCCTGACTTTTGGAATGCAATGAATCACACCACACCAAAGCATGAATTTGGATCTAGTGCTTTTATTTATTCTTTTATTTAACTTATTTGTTTTGTGGCTGTAGTTGCTTTGGACTGTTTCTATAGAAATGAAGGGTGACGTATTTTAAGCCTTTTTTTAAATACAATTTTATCCTAAAAAATTAAAGGCAATAAATGATTCTTTTTCTCATGGTTCCTGAGAGAGTAAACTCAAGATATATATCTCCAGCATAATCATTATTTGGTTCTCTTTCCTTCTTAGCAGGAGAGGTTAGCTTTTGGGTGAAGACATTAACGATTTACAAACTCTCCTGATACACACTTTTCTGTGGTTCCTTGGGAAGGAAGTTAATTAAGAAAGACAAACTTTCAGGAGCGCATCAGACCAATTCTATGAAAAGTTTGATCATTTCTCTGAAGGAAAGTATGTTTCAAAGAAATTGAATTACCAGAAATGAATTACCTTTGATTCAGTTTCATAACCAGTTTAATGAGCTAGAATTTATTTTCACTCTTTGATTTTTCATTTTAATTTTGTGATTTTAAAATTCTTTTGTTGAACTGTTATAGATACATTAAAACGCTACTAGATTTTTTTTTTAAAGATTTATTCATTTATACAAGAGCTGGGGTACAGACCAGAGGCGCGGAAGGGTGAGAGAATTCAGAGACAGAGCAGGGAGCAGAACAGGCAGACAAAGGGGGCTAGGCAGAAGGGGTCTGCCATGCCATGGGGGACTCTTCCTGGCCAGCCAGGAATCGAACCCGCACTGCAGAGGCTGTGGACAGCTTCATAGCACGGCTCTCAACCCACTGTGCCACTGGGGAGGCCCAAAACACTACTAGATGTTATAACCAAAATAATCAAAACCTGTATTTCAAGCATTATTATCTGATAGTATTTCCACATAGATTTGACACTGGCATGTTTAATCTGACGTAGAGAGATCTAGGATGCTGAGTTTGATATAATTATGAGCTATTTTAGTTTTTCATGTAAGATATATATGACAACAGCTCAGCAGCTATAAAATGCTTGGTTAATTACTATGTAACTGTTATAAAATTAGTATAGAATTTCTTCCCTTAAAAATATACTGTGCAATAAAACAAGTAATTCTATTAAACAAAGATTTTAGAAAAACTCTGAAAATATATATTAAAAACTAATTCTGCCTGACATTTTTACCCCTGTATATTATACATATATGTGACTTTTATTCAGTTATTTTACTAAATTTTGAGGAGCACTCTGCAAAGTCACTTGATTTTATACCTCAGTATCAAAAAAAAGTAATCATGTTGCTTTTTGGATCACATATGCTATATGAGTGCACACAGATCTTTGCCTTTTCATTTATTCGGCTTTCCTGTTAATCTTTCGTTGCTGCTCATCTCTTGTTTTTCTTTTACTTCTGTTCTTAGTTATTGACACTTGGATAATAGTTTGAATTTAGCAGTTAGCTAAAAAATTCTTTTTGTGAACACAGTAAATAAAAATGAAATGTATTGTTTGATTTCCTTGAAGTGCTCATTTTTTTTTTTTTTTAACTAAGGGATGTATCTTATGTATTGAGGATATTTTATACAAGTCGAAATATTGACTCTGGTGTGGTTGTTGTAATTAAATGACAAATAGGTAAAAAGAAAGTTTCCCCAGATAAGATGGTGGAAATGCAAGCAAAAATTGATGAGGAGAGAAAAGCACTTGAAACAAAACTTGACATGGAAGAAGAAGAAAGGAACAAGGCTAGAGCTGAATTAGAGAAACGAGAAAAAGACCTTCTTAAGGCCCAGTGAGTAATACTAATTTGAGATGGCATCATGATTTAAATTTCTAGTATTTTTCATGTGATGCAGAAGTAAGAATATTGAGTAATAATTAAAAGCTTGATTTTTGTCTCCAGTGTAGCTCTCTTGGATGGAAATTTTCATTGTATGTGGTGTATTTCTAAAAATTACATTTTGATTATTTCTTCTCCATGTCGGGGGCATGTCAGTGGGTTTTAGTTATAGATTAAATAAAAAATTAATACTACACAGGTATAATTTGATAGAGATGTTACATTGTTACACTCATATTTGGGAAAATTATGTCAAATTCTTGTGAAATTTCGTGAAACAATTGTAGTAGAATAGCAAGTGATTAATAGACTAAGAGTGCTCTTATTTTAATCAACAGACAAGAGCATCAGACTTTGCTAGAGAAATTATCTGCACTGGAGAAGAAGGTAATTGTTGGTGGTGTTGATTTGTTGGCAAAAGCTGAGGAACAAGAAAAACTTCTTGAAGAATCTAATATGGAATTGGAAGAAAGGAGGAAGAGAGCAGAACAACTTCGCAGAGAACTTGAGGAAAAAGAGGTAATGTGACTGTTTTTGGTTCATGCTTTGCCAAACCTTTTAATTTTTCTAGTGAAAAGTGAACTATCAATAATCTTAGTGAAAGTTTAAAGCATATGTGTGGCTTGTTTGAAAGATGATACAGTTGTCCCTTGAATAACATGGGAGTTAGGAAGGCCAACCCTCATGCAATCAAAAAATCATGTCTAATTTGTACCTCCCCTCAAACGTAAGTATTAATAGCTTGCTATTGACCAGAAGCATTAGTGATAAGAGTATATGTATATGTTATATTTGCGGTATTCTTACAACATAATAAGCTAGGGAAAATAAAATGTTAATGAGAAAATCATAAGTGTAGCATCATAAAGCTCTTTATCTTCATCATCTTCATGCTGAAGAGGAGAAAGAGGGAAACGAATCTGTGTAAGTGGGCCTGCACCATTCAAACCCATGCTGTTACAGGGGCAGCTGTAGTTGCTGATAAACATTTGTAATATGTTAAATAATCAAATTTATGCTAAATATTCAAATTTATTGCTATTCTACTACAATTGTCTCACGAAATTTCACAAGAATTTGACATAATTTTCCCAAATATGAGTGTAACAATGTAACATCTCTATCAAATTATACCACTGTGTAGTATTAATTTTTTATTTAATCTGTAACTAACTAAAACCCACTGACGTGCCCCCGACACGGAGAAGAAATAATCAAAATGTAATTTTTAGAAATACACCACATACAATGAAAATTTCCATCCAAGAGAGCTACACTGGAGACAAAAATCAAGCTTTTAATTTAATGAAGTAGTTCTGAACGTTTTTTTTTTTTTTGTGTGTGTGTGTCATAGCAAGAACGCTTGGATATCGAAGAAAAATATACCAGTTTGCAAGAGGAAGCACAAGGAAAGACCAAGAAATTAAAGAAAGTTTGGACTATGTTGATGGCTGCAAAGTCAGAGGTTGGTCTCTTAGAAATTGCTTACTAAATAAGGTAGTTCTGAAGCTTTTTTTTTTTTAAAGATTTATTTATTTATGCATACGAGAGCTGGGGTACAGGCCAGAGATGTGGTGGGTGAGAGGATTCACCACAGACAGAGCCGGGAGCAGAACAGGCAGATTGAGTGAAATACACTGCTGAAGGGCAAGTCAGGAGAGGTCTGCTGCGCCATGTAGGTTGCTCCCTGGCCAGCCGGGTATTGAACTTGTGCTGCAGAGGCTGCGGACTGCTTCATAGTACGGTGCTTAACCCCTTGCGCCTCTCGGGAGGCCCAGTTCTGAATTTTTTTTAAAAGTCTTATTTGATTAGGTATGATTTAAAATCCTAGAGGACTCATGTATTTGCTTATAATTTTAAAGAAATAAATTATTTCTCCTTTATGTGCAATTTAAAATTTTAGCTACTTAGCTAAAATGTTGTTTACAATCTTACCTAATATTGTGGGATAGTAATAGTATCATTTTGCTCATTGTTTTTGTGAAAGAACTGGATAAACACAAGGTTTCTCAGACCAGTGCCCTATCTCACATGGAACTGTTCTGTACTTGAAATCTTGCTTACCCTTAATATTTTCATTGTTTTTCTGGTAGATGGCTGATCTCCAACAAGAACATCAGAGAGAAATTGAAGGGCTACTGGAGAACATTCGACAACTTAGTCGGGAGCTTCGACTTCAGATGCTTATTATTGATAACTTTATACCTCAGGATTATCAGGTAAGAGGGTGGTATCAGTAACATATATGTTGGGTCCCTTGGCTGGGGTTAAGGAATAGAGAAATATAATTTTTAATTTAATTGGTGGCCAATAACTTTTTTAGTATTGATTATAAAATTTTCTTGAAATAATGCCATCACATTTCACTTGAACTTGATACATAATTCTTCTGAGCATCTAAATAGTAGTGCCTCAGCCCTTTGGAGGAACCAAGGTTCTTGTAATCAGAATCAGAAACGAGGTATAGATTCTGTTCATTCATTCAACATCTTTATCCTTTAAGTATCCTAACTAGAGCAGAACCCTTGTGCTGGCATTTTCTTTCAACTTAGGGATGCTAATTCTATGTACATGTGTATGAAAACACATACAACATGAAATTTAACACTTTACTGAGTGTATAGTACAGCAATATTAGGTGTATGCACTACATTGTGCAGCCACTACCACCATCCATCTTCAGATGGACGCTAATTTTTAATAATAGTATATTTTAAAAATCTCAACCTTTCTTATTAAAAATTTCCTGTTTTAATAAATTTTAATATATTGATTTCTTAAAAATCTATTTTGAATGTCTATATAGCCTTAAGAAATTTGTGAAAATAAGCCATGCTATTTTTTTCCTTTGGTTCTCAGGCACATAGGATTAATCTTTGGTTAATGGTACTCTTTCCTTATTTATCCTTGAATGGCCTGCATTGACTTATTAATTATTTTGTACTGAACTCATCCCCTTAGTCTCAGACCATGATAGTACTTCTAACCAAGTGATTTCTCCCTCTCTTCTTCATTCCTTTGCTCTAAGGTAACAGCCTCTTCATACCCTGGCTTTCATTTTTCTGTAGCTTAATTGTGTCTATGTATTTAGAAATCTTTAAAAAGGGTACCAGCAGTATGTAATGTTTTGAGACTTATTTCATTAATATTACTAAGATTTAAATTCCATGAATATTTTTCTATATTATTAAATATTAAAAGTGGGCTATCTTTGATTCTTTTAAAAGGAAATGATTGAAAACTATGTCCATTGGAATGAAGACATAGGAGAATGGCAGCTAGTGAGTATTACCTTCATCGTTTCATGAAATACTTCTGGAGTACTTCCTATAGACTTGGAATTGTGCTGGGCACTTTGAAGAGAGTATAAATCAGGAGAATGCAGTATGGTGGATAAGATGTTTTTCTAACTAGCTATAACACACAGAGTATTTAGTATAAATGGTCTAGTCTGGGGCTACATGGAACTGAGTGACTTAGGACTGAATAAGCATTGGGGTCTCTTTCTGATCTAGCATATTTTATGAGTATAATAGCATTATATCTCATAGTAATTTACCTTGTTCATAGTATTGTTAATTAAGACAATTTTCTTCCCTTCGCCCCCCCCCCTTTTTTTTTCTTTTTTGAGAAATGTGTTGCCTACACAGGGAATAACATGAGGAAGCAGACTCCTGTTGCTGATAAAAAAGAAAAAGACGTAAGAATGATTTTTTTTTTTAATTATAGTTACTTCCTTACAGGACTGTGGGTCACAAAATTATACTATCATCTTGATAATCTATTAATCAGGTCTGCTGAAAAATGAATGAATCTTTTGTGAATAGAGGCTGTAGAATGGGATGATTATTAGGACAATTCTGCTCACCTTTAGTCATGGTAGCAGGCTTATCACTTACGCCATAAGGGTGATGTGGAATCAGTCTTTGGAGCACTCTTCACATCCTCTCTGGGTCGTGGAGATCTATTTAGAGAATAGAATGTGTTTTTTCCTTTTCAAAGCTAGTCTTAGTCCTAGGTCAACAGGTGGAAGGAGCAGCATTAAGGAAAATGATACATTTTTCTTTACTTCTAAGGATCTTGTAGGGCTTATCCACTAAGCTTGGTACATTTGAGAAAAACGGTAGTGAAATATCTTTAGATACTTATTTGGTATTTTTTGACTTTTTTCTTAAAGTTTTATTCAGTATTTAAAATCTTCCCCCAAATGTGGTTTAACTTCTCCCTATAAGAGTGTTTTGTATTTCCTTTACTTAGCCCTTTGAAGTAGACCTTTCCCATGTGTATCTTGCCTATACTGAGGAGAGCCTGCGACAGTCTTTAATGAAATTGGAAAGGCCACGGACATCAAAGGGGAAAGCAAGACCAAAAACAGGGAGAAGGTAAGGACTGTCTTTGAATCCCATCAAACAAAGGCTGTGAGATGTTCTAAGATTAAGAGGAAGCTTAGTTGACTTTTATATGGTATGTTAGTAAAGTATCAAAGTCCTTAGGTAGTTATAATTTGAGTAAGATCTGGCTAAAAAATTAAGGTCTTCTGACTTCTTCAGTCCCTCTTAGTAATGGAATTTATTTTTAATTGACTTTTTTCTTTCCAGATATGTACACGTCATCTGTTGTCTTATTTCTTACACTGATTTTTCTAGTGTCATGTTAATTGATATCCCTGGTTAAATTCCCAAGGTTTTGTATTAATACTTGTTTTTCTGTCATAAACATTGCCCCAAGAACCTTAATTTCTCTCTTTGGGCATTGGTTTTAACTATTTAATTGTGTATTTGTATCATAATATAAAACCAGGATAATCAGTATGTGGGAACCTTGTGCTGGAACTTATTAGTTCTCTTTCTTCCCTATGTTATATACTGTTCAATTTGTTTAAACTGTACCACTTTGGGCTCCTGAAATTAATAATAAGCTAATAAGTCTTTTCCCTACTGTAAATATCTGGACTTTTGAGTTATATGTAGGATAAGGTTGATAGTTTTAATATTTTTGTGTTTCAGATAGCCCATAGACATCTGTTGATACATTGATATATTTGGGGTAGTTGAACCTGGGGGAGGATGAATCAGTAGTATATTAAGAGTACAAATTCTTGCATTCTTTAGCATTTAGGTGCCACAGGTTGAAAACTTATATGCCAACAGAAGTCCATCCATGTAATACAGAATGAGTGAAATCAGTCCACAGAAACATTCCCTCTAGATCTTTTACCTTTTCACAGAGATACTTTCTCCTTAACTCTGCAGTTAGTAAGAAAAATAACAGTCTGAGTGTGATGATAAATGGTAAGACAGTTGGTCTCAGTATAGGACAGAAATAAGCAGTAGTGGAGGCTGAGGCACACTGAAGAGGGATCTGTCTAAAGCTAGTGACTGCTGCTCTGTTCCTAGTTAGATCTGGTAATAGAGAGCCCTTTGTTTGCTACATCTTGTTTCTAAGAAGCCAGAAATCTAGATCAGTACATGAGATCTGTCAGTTTTTATTTCCTTTATTTTTTAAGATATGTGTCCTAAAACAAAAATTGGATTTGGTAATTGGGTACAGTTTTCAGAATGCTCATTTTAAAATAATGTTCGTTTTTTGATTTAGCCAAAAAAGGGGAAAAAATATATATATATCAATATTAGATGAGCCAAATCCAGCATCTCTTTATATTAGAATTAGCCTGCTATATTATGAAAACCCTAAGTAAATGATAGTCTTAAGCATAAGTAAATATAAACAATAAATGGTTTATTGATACTATGTTATGTCATATGATAATGTTCAATGTGATAATTCCTCATTAAAAATGCGTAGCTTCATGTGCTAAGCAGAATTGCAATAAGCATTTTACATTGATTTAGCAGTTCCATTGGTCCTTACACATTCATCTATGATGTTTCCTCAGATGACTTGTGTGTGATTTTCACTGAGTAAACCTGTACCTTTAGCATGCCCCAGAAGAGATAATCACAGTGGTTCAGGTCTGGCAAGCATGCAGCTCACTTGGCCTGGCCATGGTACTTAATGTGGCTTTGGAAATTATCCTCTCAATCCCGCCCGCTCTGTGTGATATAGTAGAGGGCCTTGCTTTAGTAGTTCTTGCTCTAGGCAGCCTTTCCCTAGCCTGCAAAGGTGGGCTTTAATCTCTTATGTCACACCTGGGTCTGTTTCTGGTGTCTGTGGCCACTCTGTATTATCTGCTACATTAAGTGTTTGCATTTCAGTCTTTTAGGAAAAGCATTCATGTTTTCTTTTTCTCTTCTCTAAACAGAAAGCGTTCTGCAAAGCCTGAAACTGTAATTGATTCTTTACTTCAGTAATGTTAAAGACTTAAAATAAAAATTAGTGATATTCTCATGCTTGGACAAAATCTTTCATTAAATCACTGAAAACTTTTGTGTAATTCCAAATAATGGAAGCTGTAGATCAAGGAGTAAGACTGGAAAGAATAATTCACCTGATAACTTTTAGTATATATATGTTAATCTTAACATTAAAATTGTAAACCTGGTAATTGTTCAAATTGTGCTATTATTTCTCACTTTATACTGTGTAGAGAAGTTGGGGGAGCAGATAATACTATAGAAAGTTGCAACTTACATGTATACATAAATCTGTTAGTTTACTCAATTATTATATATTTAGATAACCAGAATTTCACAATAGAAAAAACAATGTATGTTCTGTGATGCACACAGAAACTAGCAGATGTAATTGTCCTTTGTTGTGACGTTATACATGAATGTTTGGGCTGCATATCTAAGAAAAGATTCAATGTTAACACCCACCTGGCTGTTTAAATATGCTCTAATTTTTATTCTAACGCTAATTGCATTTTAAGTATGAGATGACTGATCTTATTGGTTATCTGTAGAGAATTTCATGATTTCACAGTCTTTGGAAGTATTCATGCTTAAAAAAGAGAAGCTGAAAGTATGTTTCATTTGGATCTCTCTTGACCTTTTTTGCCACTTTAGTCAAAATACTTTTTTTGGTTATAGTTTCATGTTCTCTTGAAACATCAAATGTAAAGGAGTTACAGTTGTGGAAAATTAAGAAGCTAAGTACTTATCACTAATCTTTGCATCTCTATATATGATTTTTAAAATTCACTTTGAAGTGTCACTAAGGGATGCTTTCCTTGCGTCTGAGTTATAAAGTTTGATAGAAATTGCTCTTTGTTCAATTGGGAAGACTTTATTTTCCAGAAAATACAACCAATCAAATAAGCAAATATCTTTTAATTATTAGCCTTTAAAACACTTTGGTCTTTTATTACATTTTATGAAAAGGAAATACTCTTCCTTGAATTTCTTCTATTAACAAATTGTTCTTTTGTTGGCTGCTTACAAAATCATTTTTTTAAACTATGTTTCTCCTAAACCACTTAAGAGAGCTTTTGTGAGTTTTAAAATTATGTCCTGGAACACACTGGTTCCTAGTTTTGAGACTTCATAAGTTAATATTTATTAACATAATTTTACTAAGTTTGGTTATATACTGGTTTGTAATTATAAAGCTGTATATAAAGTGAGTGTGAAGGCAGTCTACTTGTGAACTGGTATTAAAAATGTATCCATAAATTTAAAGTACATTCCAAAGGTGGTGTAGTAAATGTCCTGTATGTGGTGAATATTTTCTAGGTAATAAGAATTGCCTTTAATTGGTGCATTTTCTTTGTAGTATATAAGAGTTAGAAGTTTATCACTTTTTTCTGTGGGGCATTGTCTAGGTACTGTGAAGACTTGAGGTGAATTTGTCTTGTAAAAGCTTTGTGTAAGCAGGATATCTTGGCAATTTGTAGACATACATTTAACTGTTGGTAAAATTGAGTTACCAATAGAAAAAAAGATGAATACTTCTTTTTGAAAGTTATGTTTCTGGCCTTTAACAACTCAGTTAATAGGAAAGGAATAATTTTTGCATTAAACTTTGGAAGTATGGATATTTTAAACCCGCATGTTACATTTTTGTTCTATTCCACTCTACTGTATAACAAAAAAGAAATCTATAATAAGTCAAAACATTGAGAATTAAAAAAACCAGACTGCTGCAATAGTTTTTAAAAAAGCATTTACATTAGAACCGAATATATCAGGTGAACATTAAATATTCTTATTAAATACCAAAATTATATATTTGAGCCAGGCCTGTATATCTATAAGAAAACATGGGACACTGACTTTAAAGATACTCATTTAGCTCCAATCATAGCAGCTCTGTGTTTTCCACTTTTACTGTCTTTGTCTACAAATGAACTATTTTGTAACTTCACTATTAATTTCATGAAAGGATCTAGATGGACAAACTTGCTCATTATTTGAAATAAGTAGATTTAGAATGAATGTCACCTATATATAAATAGGTAATTAAATGTTTTTTTTCCTTTAATTTAAAAAAGTAATATTTATTTTTTAAAAGGATCCTTGGTAGAATGTTGTTTGTAGTATGTTTTTTGATAAGCCCCATAATTACATATGTTAATAATTAGAATATTAAAATATAAAATAGTATTTCCCATTTTTATTTTAATTCTGGTAAAGTATAGGATTAATGGAGAGAGGTCTGTACCCATGTATTTACCCCTCAAGTAAATCCATTTGACAAGCTATGATACCAACTTTCTGGAAAAAGCAAAAAAAAAATTTTGCTTCAAGTTTAAAAAGTTACTTTGGGTGAAGGGGTGGTGCTACTTCATCTGTAATGTGTTATTGAAATTATGATTGACTTTTGGTGGCTTGTTTTGTTTCTTTTTAGTCTTTTAAAAACTTCTTTCCCCTTAAATCTTAAGGAAATCCCTCTCTTTTATAGGGCTGTGAATTAAGGAATGGGTAGAGTTTACATTTAAGCACGCCAGTATCTGCCCAATTTCTTAATGTGTACATCTGTTTAATTATCCTTTGTTCTTAAAATGCTAGAAGAAAACATAGATCTTCTTAGTGCCTTTGAACTTATACAGTAGTCTAATTTATATCATTAATAACTTCAGTAGCATTATTATAATACGGTATACTGACCAAAATTATGAGTTGTACAGTGCGTTTGTTGCATTAATTTCAAAAACCACACTTTCATTGTATTTTATGTATAAATTGTATTTGTTCAAGTTGTATATATTGATATTATATGTATACATGCAGCATGCTTTAAATAAGAAATAAAAATCTTTACTATTGCCTGTAGTAGTGGTCTTCTTTTTTTGAACTATTTTCATGTCTACATCCATCCTGATATTAATAGACAGGTTGTTTTTGACATTTCGATTTCATATGGTTAAGAGAAAAAAAGTCAATGTTGTGCATCTTTAACAGAAATTATTATGAGATAGAAACCTAGAAGAGATGTTTTTAAATGAGTTTCTTATCACGGATACAATTTACTTTCACCAAAAATACTTCCATTCAAATTTTGTTATCTTTTTCATTAGGTGTTTGAGAATAGAAACTACTTGAAGTGTATATGGAGAATGTGTCTCACTGAAAGGTAAAAGGAGATACTTCTGGGTGATAGCAATATCATGATCTCTTTGAAAAATTTTAATGAGCTTAAAATATCTCCAAAACAATTTCATTGCTGGAACTGTTAATCATGTGTTCTTCTGATAGACATTTATTGATGAGCAGGCACTATGCTAGGCAACCTTAAGAAAGTCAAGGGAATATTGAGAAGAAGTTTTGATTTATTGACAAGTTTCAAAGGACTTAAATGTGCTTTTTACATAGAAGAGTCTCCTCTGGTCATTTCAGGGCTTGCTGTCTTTACTTTCCCAACTGCTAGATTCTATAATACTCTGACATGTATGTAGAACAGAACATGAAAATAAAGTTAAAGACCTGTCATGGCATAAGCAAAATTGCTCACTTCGGCCACACATATACTAAGCAAAATAATAAATAGTGCTACCCTAACACCCTCTCCCCATGCCCTCCACTTGAGTTTGGAAGCCTTGGTTCTCACTTCCATCAAGTAATACCACTCAAGCAGACTTTGGAAACCTGTCACTGTCTATGTTGTCAGGGTGCTGCAGAGGATATCTTCCATTCCATCTTCTTTGAAGACCCTTGATAAATCTGTTCTAAAAACAAGTAATAACACACAACAAAGACTCCCAGGAATCTAAGGAACAGCCTGGGCCTATAAGCACAGAAATCTGAAGCCACAGCCTAAACATAAAGTGAGCTGGAGGAGACTTCTAAAAACATTTGTTACAACATTATCTGAATGTCTCATTCTTAAACTATTTCATTTGCAAAGCAAATAAGTATTCAGTCATCCTTCGGAAGTTGAACAAATGTGTGGGAAAATGATTATGAAGAGGCTACTTCAAAAAGAACCTGTTTCCTCTCAGCATTTATCTTAGGCTTCCTGTGACCCAATCTTGAAGTTACTTTTATCAACGTTATCAGAACATCGCATTGTTTTACCCAAACACGTTTATGACTAAAGAATATGATAGATCAGATATTCTTCCACACCTGCTCCCCTCCCCCACCTCTTTTGAGAGGGCTGGGGAAATTTCAGTTTTTAATCAAAGGCTTTATTCTCCAATTGTACAAAGGAATTTAACTGGGACTTTACAACTGAATAAAATACTTCTCAGAGTTGATACCAATCTTAGCAAGAGGATATTGCCTAACCTCACTTAAAACTATCAGAGTCATTACAGAAATATTTATGTTTGTCTTGATTTCTTCTCCAAGAGATAAGCCAGTTTGTCATCAGGTATCTGTTGAAATTGTATCTCCTCTGCAGTAGCTCCTTATGTTATACATGTATATGGCTTCTGTATTTACTGTGTACCTACACAGTGCTGAGTAGAAGGGCCTTGCAAAGTTCACAGCCTTCCTCAGGAGGGAGAGGCAGCCAGAGTGACAGCACAGCATGCTGGGGGCTGTTGTGAAGGAAGGGAGTGGTAAGCTGCCAGGCACAGATTTCTTCCCTAGCAGGGGAGACATTGCCTGGCACCTGTCTACCTGACCAAAAGATCAGAAATGGTGTCTTCTCAGGGGAAGTGCCGCTTGAGGTATGAGAGGTGTCCAAAAGACATCCCAGAAGAAGTCACACATCTGGATTCCACGTGTCTTGGTGATGTGTTTGAAGTAGGGCAAAAGGAGTACAGCGAGACGAGCCCAAAAACGGAAGAGATAGACCAGGATCCTGATGTGAAAGAGCGTTTTGTAAACATTGAGAAGCATGGAAATATTTTAAGTGGGTCATCACATTGTGTTTTAGAGAAACAACTGCTGTGGCAACCAAAGGATTAGATAGGTTGGTGGCAAGCAGGTGATGAGCTAGCTAGTCCCTTTCTCTCCTTGCTGGCTTTGACGTGATGACTGCTGCCTAGACAGGGAACAAGTGTGTCTTTATTCACGTTGCCTAGCAGGTTCACGGAAATGCAGCCAGCACATAAAACATCAGAACGTGCTTGTGTGTGATTTAACACTGGCTAACAGGAAACAAGAAAGGTTTAGACAGCTTGGAGACTAAAAGTTGAACTAGGAAGAGGTTGGCAGGAAGAATGGATTGAAATAGTAGCACTTGAGAGAGCTAAGGAGAGGATGTCCGGAAATGTGAGGCATGATGGCTTACTGGGAGATTTCCCTGGAACTCCGACTTGAGCTTGTAAAGGCAGAAATCAGCACAAGACTAGTGAAGGTGCCTGCCTTTTTCTCTGTGGAAGCTGATAGGGACTAAGAGATGAATCTTTGTGCTGACAGGCCAGATTGTTCCTTGCTCCATGAGAATGCTGTAAACTGCCCTGCACCGAGATTCTGCATTTTCAGATGATGTGGGCAACCTGAGGGCAGACCAAGATGACTTCTGGAGGAGGGTGAAAAAAATACAGGACAGGATCACTAGTATGGATACAGAAATAGCCACAAGAGAGATGCTTTTACCAGAGAACAGCATTTCTAATAAAGTATATTTCAATAAAAGACATTCAGCCAAATATTTGAGCAAAATGAAATGATTTGTCGTTCATTTGTTTATTCAATAAGAATAACTTAATGCTAACTAGAGAGAGGGTTTATTCATAGGTAAAAGGTGGAGGTAGCTGATGGCAAGGAGCCTTTGCTGTCAGTGATGCACGTTTCATACATAGACAAGTGTCAAGTTCCATGGAGCAGGCATGGACTGTGGCTCAGTGTCATGAAGGAAAGTGTGAGAAGATAAGCTTCTCCACATTGCTTCATCCTAACGTTTCATTACGGCTCTTTCTTGGTATCTTCCTCAGTCGATATTCTCTCACACGCTTGGTAGATTCTAAAGATTATTTTTGGGCATTTCCATCCAGTGCCTAGACTACCTGTCTGGAAATAAGTAGTCTTGTGAGTTGCATCTTAACCATAAAAACTTTTCTTATGACAGAGCACCTAGAGCTTGGGTATGTCCTTTCTGTGGCCCTTTCTAAATCTTTCTTCCTCATTGCCTTTCCTTTTACCGTCCTGGCCTCATATACCAGTTGTACCCACAACTCATATCCTGTGGCAGATTACAGCTCACATTAGCCATTAAATGCACATGAGTGTCAATCAAAGAAAAAAGGAAATTAAAGTTTTCAGTGTGGTCTTAGAAGGCTCCATGACTCTATACTTATTGCCCTTGGCATATTGGTATTTTATGTGGGCAGGGTGAAACTGGCTGTGGTCAGGGTGAGACTTTAAGCTTTTGATTTGTTCCCTTATTTTGAGAGGGTTAAAGAGATGATGCATGTTTTAGTATAATTTTAGTACTAGTATTAATTTTTGTCATGTGTAAGCGAGGATGAAAAGAATGCATATTCAGTGTTGCTAGATCCATATTCTTGCAGAGAACATATCTTCAAATAGTAAGTTTCAAAGTCTTTATGGTTGGTGAAGACTAACCATAATTTAATTTTTTGTAAATAACAACTTTATTGAGCTATTATCACTTTTATAAAACTCATCCTTTTAAGAGGTAAACATTGGTTTTAATATATTCACAGAGCTGTGCAACTATCACCACTAATATCAGAACATTTTCATCCCCATAAAAGAAACACTATGTCCATTAGTAGTAACTCCCTGTTTCTCCATCTACCTGGTACCTAGGAACCAGTATCCTACATTTTGCCCTATGGATTTGTGTATTCTGGACATTTCCTATAAGTGGAGTCATACCGTATGGGGCCTATTGTGTCTGGCTCCTTTCACTTAGCATAATGTTTCAAAGGTTCATTCATGTTGTATCTATCAGTACTCCATTTCATTGCCAAATAATACTTTGTCCTATGGATATACCACAGTTTATCCATTCATTAGTTGATTGACATTTAGGTTTCTGCTTTTTTGCAATTATGAGTAATATTCTGAGCATTTATGTAGAGGTTTTCTGTAGACACATTTTCAGTTCTCTTGACTAGATACCTAGGATTGGAATTGCTAGATCATTTAGTGACAGTGTTTAACTTTGAGGAACTGCCACACACTGTTTTCCAGAAGTGATTGCACCACTTTCCAAAAACAGCTAGGGTTCCAATTTTCCCACATCTTCAACATTTGTTATTATCAGTCTGTTTTTATTTTCTGTAATTTTTAAAAACTTTTTTTCATTTATGCACATGATCACATGTACATGCAGGCACGTATGTGTGTGCACACACACGCACACAGAGATTTAAAATGGAAAGCAGTTTATACTTCGACTGATCCTTATTCAAGTCCCATTCTCAACAAACCACCTTCCCTTTTTGTTTTTAGTTTTTCTGGTGGCTGTCATAATTCTTAGGATTTCCTGATTCACTTTTTTTTTTTTTTACTTATTATGAACATTTTCAAACATGTTTAAAAGCAGAGTAGTACAGTCAATCCCCATATATCCATATCGCCAACTACAACTTGTGATCACTTTTTAAAATTTTCTTGTTGAAAAGTGAGGGTGTAGCTCATTTACACTAACTTTTTAATAATAAATTAATTTTAGATCTATTACCTTTGAAACTTTGAATAAATACTTAAATCTATTGCTGATGGATCAACTAGATAATACTGTTTAGCCAACCCCTCGCTGAATTAGCTAGGGATGTTAGTGCCTCACCTTTTTCCTTTTGCTTTGACCTTTCAGTCATTTGAGCTGTACCTTTTTTATTGTCAGGTTGATAGCATTTACATTCTGTTTTGTAACCATAATTAAGTCTTCTGTGCTTTGTTGATTATCAACAAAGACTTGAGAATCAAGTGAATTTACCTTATCAGAACTTTATTGTTCACTGCAGAGCCACATAGTGTGCTAGAATTTTTTTCTCTTCTATAGACTCACTGTAACTACCCATGTGCCACTGAAAGAAGAATATTCTAAGCAGCCAGGTGACACTTTTTCAATTCAGAATTACTTCATAGTCTTGGGGACTCATGGAGCCACTCTGCAAGCTTGCTTATCATTTACATCTGCATGGCCTTGTACTATTTAATCATTTCATGTGTTATGTCCCCAACTAGAGATTGAACTCTTTGAGAGGAAAGCAGTCTTTCCTTTTTAACTCCCACACTGATTTTAGTCTCAGTAAATTAAATTGGTTTCCCCCAAAGTTGTAAACCACAACTTTCATTTGTCAAGTGAACATAGTCAGTACCACAAAAGAAATGTCATGTTGTCAGATTCTGCATGCACTTTATTTTACAATGTGTTATAAATATATAAATACTTTAAAAAAATAAAGGTAATAAGAAATCATAAATTAATTCAGCTTCAACTCTTTGAGTATTTCTCTTGCATGATCGTCTTTAGCCTTTCCAAGAAGTCTTTCAACGTATTCTTCTTGGCTTCATTCACAGGGCAGTAGGGCTACAAAAGAAACATTTCATTAGCTTTCATTGCTGCTAAATATTTGAGTCTTGCTGTCACTGCTGTCTACCTAACTGTACCCTTGAACTTGCCTCCTGAACAGTGATGAAATCAGGGCCTTCTGTGCAGTGTTACTGGGAATATCCCTTTGCCTCTAGGCCAGCAGGATTTGCCTGGTTTTGGTGCATACTATTTACATTCCTAGAAATGGTTACTCTACCACCATTAACTGTCTTCAGAGTGCTGCGTTCTGGAGAGATGTGTTACAGGTAGTGCTGCTCAGGGGGTGTGACATGAAGATGGGAGACTTAGACCTGCCCACTGACTACTGGGACTTTTGGGTGGCTGCCTGGACCACTGAGAGAGAGTTGTCCATTTGCTTTCTTGCCCACTGAAAAGCAACACCATTGCATGGTGGCACTTCAGGTGGGAAGGATTCCAGGTACCTATTACCAGACTACTGCTTCAGTTTGAATCTCAGCCCTCTTGATATATTAGTTGCGTACCTTAGGACAAACTACTTCATTTATGAAAGTTTCACTCTTCTCCTTTGTAAAGTAGGGTCCCAGTGTCTAATTCATAAGAGGATTAAAAGAATGAGCGCTGTGTCAGCTCCCTGTTCCAATAAATAAATAAGACAACAGGCTCAACTTGGCATTAGATAGCATTCACTCTTGGCTCTTCCTCTCTCCTGCACAATCCCTTCTTCTCTACTGCATCACTCCTGATGGCATACTATCATGCTGAATGTATACCACACCATAAAAAAAAAAAATCCTTCAAACGTTCCTTCAGCCTCTCCATTTCTCTGCAACATTATAATGAAACACTTCAAATGACTTTTCTGTATTCACTGCCCTTTTTCACTGCTTCCTGCTTCTCTGTTGAACCCTTCTAGTTAGGCTTTCATTCCTGTATTCTATCTATATAGCGTCACTGATAACCTTCCTCAAGCCAAATCTTGTGATAATCCTCAAACATGATCGAACTTGACCTCCAGTAGACTTATCATCCCCTCATAAGAGTTTTTTTTTTTTTTTTTTTTATATAGGGGCATGTTTTCTTTCTTTCTTTATTTGTTTTGTTTTTTTTTTTTTTGTTTATACATGCACTGGGTACAGTCAGAAGCGCGGGAGGGTGAGAGAATTCACCAGAGCCAGAGCGGAGAGCAGAGCAGGCAGAAGGACCGAAGTACACTGCTGAGGGGAGCAGCGGGCGGCAGGAGAGGTCTGCATGCCATGTGGGACCCTCCTCCGGTGGCCGGGGAGCAGCCGGGGATCGAACCGGCGCCGCAGAGGCCGCGGGCAGCTTCGCAACCCAGCGCTCAACCGCTGCGCCACCGGGGAGGCCCCCTCATAAGAGTTTCTTCTCTTGCCTTCTGGGAGCCACACACATTTCAGCTTTATCCTACTTCACTGGCTAATTCTCAGCCTCTCTCTTACAGGACCCTCCTCTTTCTGATTCTGTATGTTAGAGTGTGTCTGGACTCAGTCTTTGGATTTCTTTATGTCATTCAGGTCATCACATTAAATAACATCTTTCTGAGAATTCATAAGTCCTGACCTTTCCTCTACGTTTCAGACTTTTCCAATAATCTTCTTAACATCTTCATTTAGCTCTCCAATAGGTGCCTCAAATTTACCTTGGACAAACTAGAACTCTTAGTCTTCCACTTAACTTCCAGACCTGCTTTGCTCCTAGTCTTCCATATTTGTAAATAGCACCAACCAGCCTTAAAGGGTGCTCAGGTCAAAACAAGAGGTCATCTTTTGTTCTTGCCATCACCCCTCACAACTGATCTGTCAGTAAGTCCTTTTGGCTCTATTTTTAGTTATATCCTAAATCTGACAAACTCTAATCCTCCCACCCTGTTGAATCCACCATGATCTCAAAGCTAGATTACTGCAATAGACCCCTACCCCCCTCATCTAGCCATCTTGCTTCTGTGCTTACTCCTATTCAGTCTGGTTTCCACACAGTAGTCAGAGTGACCAAAGAACCTTAAGAGAGATTTGTCAAATGAATGAATAGGTTGAATAATCAAGAGTACTCTTAGGAAACATTTAGAAATGACACTGCTGGAATCAGGAACCAAGCTGGCAGCTTACCATGTTTGCCATGCTGCTGATGTTTCTGCTGAGTCCTTTCACAAGTTTGGGTAAGCACTTGTGGTGTCTGTAGAACTGCCGAAGCACAATTGTGGCCCTGCAGAAGATTTCCTTCTCAGTTGTGTTCTAGAAGAGAAATACCATGGGTAGCCATGTGCTAGGTCTGTTTTGAACAAGGGAGAGTTTTTCTAAGTTCTTCTTTCCAAGAAAACAAATAGAGAAATAGGCAAGTTGAGAAGGATATCAACTATAAATTAGGTTTTCAAGTTTTCCTGCCCTGTGAATGAATGAAGGCTTCTCATCACAGTCATAAACCACAAACAGCCTTCCCCAATTCTCTGCAAGTGTAGCAGCCTTCGCCTCAGAACCTCCCAGCTTCTCTTTCCTTATAGAGTTTTGCTGAAATGAAACCTGCCACTCAACTAAGTAAATGATAGAAGGTTTGAATGCTGACCTGTATCTACAGACTGTGCCTGTTTTTCTTTTCATCATACAAGCTATTCTTTCAGTAGAAGGTTCCTACATGAGCTCATAGTCAAATTCTCTCTCATTTCTGTGAGGTTTTAAAATTCAGGTTTCCCTGAAAGTCCTATGATTTTGTTGAATAAATGGATGCCCAACCTTTCTCTGGACAGTACTTTTTCTGTAGCACTCTCCATTTAAGCTTTGCTGTGAGAGGTAGAAGTGTGTGTCAGAGCTCAGGGTCCAGCTGGAAGTGAGTGCCTAGATCAAGGCTAGGTGCCCAGGAGGCTGGCCTGGGGAGACTAGGGGGGTGCTTATGAGAGGATGCCATTCAGTAACAGCTCTGTGAGGGGCTTTGGCCTCTGATGTGCGGTTCACAACTTCCTTGAAATGCTGACTGTTTGGGTGTAGGTCTGGCTGCTTGGCTCACTCTAGGGACAGCTGGGTCTTAGGAAAAGAAGTGTACAGGTGGGAAAGCAGCTCTTGTTGGGAACCTGGCAGGGGGATTGTGTCTCAGTCTGAATCAGGCCTGGTGTGTCCTTTTCACTTAGGACTGAGGAAAAGCGGCACAGAGCCTAGAAAGTGGTCTTAGCTTGAGCCTGATCCAGTGCAGATGGAAAAAGTTACCTAGCATCTGCCAGGATATGCTTAAGTCCCTTGCCGCTCAAACATGATCCATGGAGCAGCAGTGTGGGCATCACCTGGGAACCTGTTAGAAATACAGATTCTTAGGCCTCCCCACACCCACTGAATCCTCTGCGTATTAACAAGCTCTCCCAAGGACTTATATGAGAAGCACTGTCCAAGCAGCTTTTTAAGTTCCAACATACTAATTCATTATTCTTGCAGGTTTTTTGCTACTGCAAGTATGGTAGTGAGTTATCTATGTAAATCTGTGTTCATCTCATTTCTTTAGGTTAAGTTCTAGAAGAATAGTTCATACTTTAGGTTTTTCCAAGAAAATCCAGACCCAGGTGCAAGTGTCAGAATCCAGACTACAAAGGCTTCTCCTATGCCCTATGAGTTGTGATGGTACAAGGGCAGGACGTTTGGAAAAACATGTACTTAGTAAGCTGACCATGAGCCCACCTAAACCCCGATTCTAGTTGGAAATGTAATGGTCGCACCAGCATCTCTGGGCTCTAGGAGTTAAGAAACCTCCCATAAATCACCACAGCTTTCTGGTATTTGTGAATGAGTAGAGGTGGAACGACCAAGGCCAAGGCAAACCCTTGCTGTTGGGCAGTGTGCAGATGCCTGTAGTGTTGGAGAAAGAGCAGTGAGGTTCACGAAGGTCCAAAGGAGACAACCTAATGAGATTTTCTGAAACTTTGCCTTGGATCCTACAAATTAAATTGCCTTAGTTTTGAGTATGTGGCTATATAATACATGGGGGAAACACTGTATTACCTATATTTTTCAAAGGACTTTCTAAAGTGAATTAGGATAAAATAGGAATTGAAAAGTTTGAATCAAACAGAAAAACCTCAAAATGCTAATTCTAAAGGCAGTTTTAATGGAGGGCCTTAAAGTTTTAGTTCCAGCTGTGTTGCAGCAGTAGGATGACACTCCACACTGACTGCGCTCATCTGCTGTTTAGCATTCGCTGCCTGAAAGTGTCTGGTAGAGTTCAGAGGATGCACTTAGAAAGCACAGAGATCTTGAAGTTCAGAACTGCTCAGCAAGAGTCTAAAAGAGGGGTCTAACAGACCAATGGAATCGAATAGAAAATCCAGAAATAAATCCACAGATTTATGGTCAACTAATCTTTGACAAAGGAGCAAAGACTATGCATTGGAGCAAAGAAAGTTTGTTCAATAAATGGTGCTGGGAAAACTGGGTCGCTACATGCAAAAGAATGAAGCTTGACCACTACCTCACACCATACACAAAAATCAACTCAAAATGGATTAAAGAACTAGACATAAGACCTGAAACCATAAAATATATAGAAGGAAATATAGGCGAAACACTACGTGATCTGCACATCAAAGACATCTTTACAGACACATCACCCAAAGCAGTGATAGTGAAGGCAAAGATAAACAGCTGGGACTACATCAAATTAAAGAGCTTCTGCACAGCAAAAGAGACAATAACAAAAACAAAGAGAAACCCCACCAACTGGGAGAACATTTTTGCACCCAACACTAATGATAAAGGACTGATCACAAAAATCTGCAAAGAGCTGATGAGACTCAGCAACAACAAAGAAAATAATCCAGTCAAAAAATGGGCACAAGAGCGAAAAAGAAACTTCTCCAAAGAGGAAATGCAAATGGCCAACAGGCATATGAAAAAATGTTCAACATCACTTGCCATCAGGGAAATGCAAATCAAAACTACCATGAGATACCATCTTACACCAGTGAGAATGGCACATATTAAAAAAACTAGCAACAACAAATGCTGGCGAGGGTGTGGAGAAAAAGGAACTCTTCTGCACTGTTGGTGGGAGTGCAAACTGGTCCAACCACTGTGGAGAGCTGTGTGGAGATTTCTGGACCTACTAAACATAGAGCTTCCATATGATCCAGCAATTCCACTCCTAGGTATTTACCCAAAGGACACAGAAACATCAATTCCAAAGAACACCTGCACCCCTATGTTTATAGCAGCACTGTTTACAATAGCTAAGCTTTGGAAACAACCCAAATGCCCAAAAATAGATGACTGGATCAAGAAGATGTGGTACATATATACCATGGAATATTACTCAGCATTCAAAAAAGATAAACACATGCAATTTGCAGCAACATGGATGGCGCTGGAAGGGATCATGCTCAGCGAAATAAGCCAAAAAGAAAAAGAAAAATACCGGATGGTCTCACTCATAGCAGGAATCTAGAAAACTTAAATAAGGGACCAGGAAAATGAATAACTATAAGAAAGTGAAAATCAAAATCAACAAAAAACTATGAACCAGAGACAATTTTAGGGGGGCGGGGGCGGGAGGGGAGGGATTGGGGTCAGAATGGGGGGGCTGCAATTGTATGGGGAATATAACAATAAAATTTATTAAAAAAAAAACAAAAAAACAAACAAACAAAAAAAAACAAATTTCACATTGAAAAAAAAAAAAATAAAATAAAAGAGGGGTCTAGGCCCTTGCCAAAAGGAGCCCTTCCCTGTTGGCGATATCAGCAAACTGTGGAATGCCATTTGGGAGATTTCATGTGTGGCAGTGACTACTAGGTTTTGGTCTGGTTTTTGACTAGCTTTATTTAAGGCCATAAAAATCCAGTCTTGTTTGTGTTGTATTCATTTAGTCAGCCATTGCTGTATGTGAGAAAATCCTTAATTTTCACTTAAGAAAATTTGAGGGTCGATCTAGAACTCTTAAAAAAAGATGTGCTTTACCTCTCCATAACTGGTGTTATGGAGAAACGCTCCCATTATAGAGAAATGCTTCATAGACCGGCCAGCTTGCTTGCTTTCTATTTTGCTCTTCCTAAGACTACCTTGATTTCACAGAAACCTGCGTGTGCATTGCCTGTGAAAGTCTGGGTTTTTAGAGTAGCACATTCTTTTGAGAAACTGCCAAATAAGGATGCTACCCAACTTGTAGGTACTAGAACGGTTGATTCCCAAAAGAAATAAAATCAATATTCTAGATTTTGGAAAGATGATGTTCTTTGGGAATACAAAGAAGTTACTTTTCCTCTCACACCATGCTTGTGGGTTTTGAAAATAGCAACCTCTCCTTATTCTGAAGTGTTTCAGTACATAAGTAAGCAGTGTTGAGTCTTTGAGGAAGAAAAAGAATGGAAAAATTACTTTGTTAATCTAGGGAGAAGAGAAGCAGTTTGAGGAAATGCATACCAGATTATGAAGAGTGAGGGAAAGCAGTGGGAACTTAGAAGACAATTACCTTTGTGGTGAGGGAGGTGTTTGAGAATTGAGTGAAGAGGAAATGGGAGGAAAGCAGTCTGGCTTGACATGCTCCTCAGTCCCGGGTAAGGGGTGAGTGGGTTTTCTAGAGTGGGGTTACCCCTGAACTTGGAGTCATGGAAGGTTTGATCATTTCCAATCACTGTTCCCTCTTTCTTAGAATTATTCTGCAACCAGGTTTTTACTATGATCAGGTTATATCATCTTATAATAACACTTTCCATTAACTCAAGAGTTGGATTCCAACCAACTTTCAAAATCACTTTTGTATCTTCAGATGTAGAAACTGAGGCACAAAGAGATATGGAGGCCAAAGGTCACACAGCTAGTTAATGGCAGAACTGGGGCAAAAAGCACAGGCTCTCTCACTTCTAGACCCTCGGAATTTCCTCCTGGATCCTACCTTTGGTTTTGGGAGAACCCAGAGCACAACCCAATGGATTCTTGGATATTTTATGTACATAAATTTTATATACATGAAAACATATTCATATATAAGTTATTTATATGCATACACACACATGAAATCTTCCAACCTATTGATGGATAGTCTGATATGAAATGAGATTTTAAAGGACAAAATTATATATTATATAATACATATTATACATTTATAGTATTTTATATTTAATTATATTGCAATATTATATTTCACTGTGTGTCAGACTCTTGGAATAATCTAATGAAATAAAGTAGACCCAGTAAAAGCTTGAAGAAGAGTTTTCCTCAGGAAGTAGGACAGGCCTGTTCTATAGCCTAGGTGCTGGTATGGCCCTGCCCAACCCACAGAGCTTTATCCTGGCCAGGTTACTCCTCTGGTACACATGGAAAGCAGGTGGTTAGGAGACCACTGGTAAGTTGAAGCTTTGGGTTTTTCATTCTCAGTTATGTGTTTCCATGAAAACAGGAACTGATGTGCACAAAGCTATTGATATGGCTATAGTCATGTGTTTGTCAGAGAAAATGCACTATCAGCTGTCAAATCTATCTCCTCCCACTACAATGATGTGGGGAGGGTGGGGGGGGCAGAGTGAGACAGCACAGGAGGCAGAAAGGCAAGATGCCCTAGTAGCCAGAGGCAGGGATATGTTGGACCCCACCTGGCTGGAGAGCTCCAGGCCAGACTGGAGGGTAGTTGGCAGGACAGAGCAAGCTAAGGGTCTCTGGACAGCTGTCCCAGAGCCAGTGGGCTGTTAGGTGACCAGGCTGTGGAAGAGGAGGGGCTCTGGTGATACCTTGTCTGTTGCCATAGGAAGTCTCTTAGACAAAATGAAAGCTCCCTTAACCTGTAATCTTAATATCTGTTTTTTTAAGAGTATTTGGTTTTTCAGAAATGTATGGGCCAGAAAAAGTCTCTCCTTTAATAGGTACTTATTAAGTACCTACTATATTCAGGTACTAGGCAACGGTGTGTGAAATCCTACAGAGTTTTTCTGGACCAGGATCTGAATTATGATTACAAAATCCTAGCTTTCTGTCATGCTTCTTATAAAGCAAGTGAAATCAGAAACCTCAAAACATGTTTGAGAGACTATAATCCAGAGACCAAAACATGTTTGAGAGACCAGAATCCTTATTTTTTGAAATCATTGAACAACTTAATTTGTTTTAATTAAAAAATTTTAAAGTTTTTTGTTCAAACAGTTGTGGATGGCTCTCTTCTCCCAATTTACCCATCTGCCAAAGTAGAGCTAGGGCAGTTCTTACCTTTGAGGTGGCAAAGACATCTGCTACGGTGAGCTCCATGCATGCATCCTTGGCCCAGACAGGAACAAGAAAGCAAAGACAGAGTTACCTCCACGGTACGGAGTAATCCTTTCTGAGCTGCTCTCTCAACCTCAAATTAAGAAAACTTCCTGGGCCCCCCTGGTCACGCAAGAGGTTAAGACACAACCTATGAAGCTGGCCGCAGCCACTGCAGCATTCTCGAGTTCGAGCCCTGGCCGGCCAGGGAGCTGCCCACATGGCGCAGCAGACCTCTCCTGCCTCGCCTGCTGCTCCCATCAGCAGTGTACTTTTGTCAGTCTGCCTGTTTTGTTCCCCTAGCTGTCTCTGGTGAATCCTCTCACCCCCCACACCTCTGGCCTATACCCCAGCTCTTATATGCATAAATCAGTAAATCTTAGGGAAAAAAGATAACTTCCTATAATCCCTCAGAAGACAAAAAGTGCCAAGGGGAATGACTTCGCTCTGCTCCACCTCCTATCAGCCAGTCACCAGCTACCAGTTCTAGAAGCTGTTAGGTTCTTCTCATAATCTAAAACATACCTCCGGCGTCATCATCTGGAGATAGTGCCAGATAGCGTACTCACCTTTCTCTCTGTGAGGATGTTCAGCGCTTTGATGATCTCTTTTAGGGTAAGATCAAATTTGTGTCCGAGGACGAAATTGCTGGTACATACTAATAAACAGATCAGAGTTGGAATCAGTTGGGCAGTGAGACCCATTAATAGATCTCTGATCGCAGTGACAATGTGAGACAATTAGTTTACCAAGAGGAGCCAACAATGCAATTCTGACAAAGATATCTCTATATATAGATTTAAAATTGCTGAATAGGAGGAAAATAAGTTTACATTGGAAATTTTCGATGAAGTTTGCCCGTCTTTATAGGAGAAAAAAAAAATGCTGCAAAGAAACAGGTATAATGTTCTTGTGAAGTGAGACCAAGAGGAAAATGAAACCTTTTTTTAAAATTAAGAACAAAGTATCAGCATAGGAAATTGTACCATAATTTGCTCTTTAGATTAATCTTATCAGTTTGGGGTTACTGCTGGCTTTTTGCTTTGCATAGAAGAGGCCACAGGTGTCCGAATTTGTTTTAGTGCAATCCTCCTGGGGAAAGATAGAGTAATATCAAGAAAGTTTGACTTGAGTGGTGTTTCAACCTGGCTTCTTCCAGGTACAGGTGGCACCTTGGAAACTCTCCTTTTGTGGAAAAGCTGATCTGGGATTCTTTCTCTAGGTAGAAGGAAAGTAATAGGCATGGACTCTCTTGTTCTAACACTCAGGCATGCCATTCTTTCAATTTTAGGACTTTCAGCACTTTGGCAAAGTATCAGGTTTAACACCAGCTGAAATTTAGTTTGGATCCCAGCAGGTCTGTAAGGAAGCCCTAGACAGTCCCCTCAGCAGAAGGATACCAACCAGGTAGACCCAGCCAAAGAAGAGACATGACAGGTAAGGCCAAGGAGCATCCCAAATATGAAACTTCTGCTGCCTTCTTGTAGAGTCACCTCCCGGCACCTGATGTATGACAACGCACGAGTCTGGTCAACCACGGCAGCTCACCTGTACTTCAGTGTCTAGTTTTACTGGCGTGTCATTCCCTAGGCATGGCTAATTGAATCATTCGCCATTCTTATCTCATTCACCATTATTATCTCATTCACCATTGAATCATTCACCGAACTCATCCAGCTCTCTCCCTGGAGTTTGGGACGATATCACACTTGTTTAATGTTGTGGCCAACCCCCCTTCCCATCACCTCATTAGCATAAACTATCTGGCCCACCATTGATAGCAATTACTTGGGAATAATTCCCAAGGAGTTAGGGGCTACCTCCCCAGAATAGGTGATAAAGAGCAGCCAGTTCTTTATTTCAGGGATTTAGAGGTTCACTCTTAAGCAGAGGCCAAGAACAGGAGCAGCAAACCCGCTTCTTGCATAAGTTCCCTCTTTTTTAAAAAATGTTTCTCATTTTTAATCCTAGTTTTGGGATATAACTGATGTATAGTATGTCTGTATTTAAGGTGTACAGCATCATGATTTAACTTGCATGTGTTGTGAAATGTTAACCACAGTAAGTTTAATTAATAGCTACTCTCTCATATAGGTACAACAAAAATGAAAAGAAAAAATGTCTTTTTTTCATTGTGATCAGAACTTTTAGGATTTACTTTCTTAACATGTTTCAGATATCATACAACAGTGTTAACTACAGTCGTGTTGTACCTTACATCCCTAGTACTTAGAAGTTTATACTTTTTGACCACCTTTAACCAGTTCCCCCTACTCTTAGCCCCTGCCTCTGGTAACCACAATTCTGATTTATTTTTCTATGAGTTTGTTGTGTTTTGTGTTATTTTATTCTACTTATAGCGAGACCATACCATGTATTTGTCTTTCTCTGACTTATTTCATTCAATGTAATGCCTCCAAAGACAGACTGTGTTATTGCAAATGGCAGGATTTCCTAATTTTTTATAGCTGAGTAATATCCCTTTGTAAATATATATTACTCTTTTCTATTCATTTGTTGATAGACACTTGGGTTATTTCCATATTTAGCTATTGTAAATAAAGCTGCTGTGAACATAGGGTACAGATATATACTGACATACTGTTTTCATTTTCTTTGAATAAACACCAGGAGGGAATTGCTATCTACAATAGTTCTTTTTAAAAACTTTCCCACAGTGGCTGTACCAATTCACAAACCCACCAATAGTGTAGAAGGCTTCCCTTTTCTTTAAATCCTTACTACCACTTTGTTATCTCTTTTTTGATGCAAGCCATTCTGATAGGTGCTATCTCATTGTGGTTTGGTTTGCATTTCCCTAATCATTAGGGATGTTGAGCATCTTATATATCTGTTGGCTGTTCATATCTTCTTTGGGAAATTCTTCAAGGCTTTTACCCATTTTTTGAAAATTAGCTTTCCTAGTTTTTTGTTTTGTTTGTTTTTTTTTGGTTATGGGAAATTTTAATTCTTCATTACACAAATGGGAGGGCTCAGGCAGTTCCTTCTGGGATATGTGGACACTTCACATCCAGATTAACTATTATGTAGAGTAAAATGGTACATATTCATTTCTTGAGAGAAGTTCCTATTAATATAGGAATGAGCTTGAGAATACAGACACTGGAGGAAAGTCTGGGGCACAGAGCACACTTCTCAGAGCCTTGGGGTTTGAGGGAGAACTAGAGTGGAGGGGAAGTCCACAGGATCCTGGAACATGTGAGAGACAATAGAAGTCACCCGCCTTTCAGTACTTGTTTTGTTAAGGGCCAGACCCTGTGCTGGGGGATCTGGGAGCAAAGGTAAGAGTCAGAAAAGGAATATAATATAGGAACCCATATCTCAGAAGCAGAACACATTATTTTGTCTCAGTGGTTGCATGATACCAGGGATAAAAAGGTTCAATGTCGGGGCTTCCCCTATGGCGCAGTAGGTTGAGCGCCACACTGTGAAGCTGTCCACAGCCTCTGCAGCACGGGTTCGATTCCCAGCTGGCCAGGGAGATTCCCACATGGTGCAGCAGACCTCTCCTGTCTTGCCCGCTGCTCCCCTCAGCAGTGTATATCGTCAGTTTGCCTGTTCTGCTCCCCACTCTGGTGAATTCTCTCACCCCCCTCCGCACCTCTGACTGTACCCCAGTTCTCTTTAAAAAAAAAAAAAAAGGGTCAATCTCCCAGAACATCAGGGAGTGACCAGAAGCCTCCTTCAAAGCGTAGAAGGAGAAAATGGTCATCCTTCCTGTGGTGTGGCATCGTGGCAGGTGTCATGTGGCAAACCTGACCAAGGCCAGGAAGGTGGGGGCCTGTACCTTCAGAGACTCACCACCACCACCAAGAAGGAGCTTCTCCCAGGCGGTAGGAGTGATTGTATGAGGCAGATGGGGTAGGCATGCAGCTGGGTTCTGACTGCATCAGTCATAGACCCATTTGCCCTTGACCCTGTGGAAGAGCTGACAGTTAGCATTGGCCCCTGCTTTTCTTTCTGACCCCCGAGTAAAGCTATCATGTGTTCTGGGTTTTGGAGTCTAGCAAACTAGGCCCTTGTCCACTGTGTGACCATGAGATTCCCATGAGGCACGAGTGAGAGATTCCATGGAGAGTGCTTGGCACACAACCCTCCATGGCATGTGGCTGTTACTCGAGGCTGCTGTCAACCAAGGTGGCCCCAGCAGTCTGCTGGTTCTGGCTGCTCCAGTTTCTCAGTGTGTGACTTGGGGCATGTCATTCAGCCTCTCCCATAAAATGGGGGTGATAGTTGTACCTGCCTTTTGAGGTGCTTCTAGGAGTAATAAGTTAATGTGTTGAAAGTATCAGAATAGTGCCTGGCACACAGTGAGTGCAGGGAGTGCTGTTGTTGTTTGTTAATCATCTTTGCTTGGTCAAAAGGCTTTGTTACTTAATTTATTAGGCCTACCTGAGTCTGAACATGGCCAGAGGTTTTGCCAGTGGACAATTCCCATACATGTCCCTGCTGTTTGTGTCTTCCGTTTTGTTTTTAAGTCTCTATCCTTGAGTATGTGGAGTCATTTTTAATTGCTACACTGCAGCCCTCGTATTTATGTATCTGGATTCACAGCAGGAAACATACTGCTGTGGGCACCTTATACAGAAGAACATTTAATGCAGGGAAGTAGGTGCTTATAGAAATGTTGGGAGGGTGGAGGAGCAAGCCCAGGCTAGACCCAGAACTCTAAAGAAATGACCCACAGGGAGGACCACTACTCTTGGGCTGCACGGCAGGGCTGAAGTTCAAGAGCACACATCTCTGGGGTGCAATCCAGGGATCCCAGAGATACTGCCTTAACTTCTTCCCTACATTACAGGAGGAAAACCTCATTTCCATCTCCCTTCCGCCCCACCAAGGATAGAGGAAGATGGTGGAGGCCTTCTCAGTTTTCTAGCAGACAAGAAATCACATCTAGACTCCAACCTCAGGGGGGTCTAAGAACTTGAGTTCTGAGCACTCAAAGGGAAAAGTCTGAGAAGTTTCCTGAAGCCCCTAGTTGATGGCAGTCCTGCCCCAGCCCAAACCCTGCGAATCTCCTTTCCCACATTATTCTTGAAAAGAAAACTTGTGGGGAGTAATGTTTAAACAGAGATTGGAATAAGTAGCACTTAGTCAGGAGCAGGGGGCTGGGAGGGTCAAAATGTATAAAACAGGCACTCTGTGGAGCCCTGGAGAAGCGCTAGAACCCTGCCATTGCCATGACAGGGAGAAGCCTGCGTGGGTAGGACAGGACAGTGGAGGGAGAACTGTGGGCCCGAGTCACTCAGCAGCAGCCAGGTGGAAATGTAGGGCATGTGTCCTGCAGCCAATAGGACCTGGCCAGCTCTGCTGCCTCCTCTCTGGAAAAGGCACCCTGTCCAGGCTTGTTTGTCAAACTTGGCCAATGATAGAGTTGTGGGAAGATTATACGAGGTAATAAATATAAAGTGTTTGGTGGGGTACCTTATACATTGGAAGCTCTGAACAGATGCCAACTATCATTATCATCATTGCTACTATTAATAGCACTTGGAATTGGCAGAACATGGGGACAAGGGAGGCTGTTCTGGGACTCTGGCTTGGGCAAGTGCCTTTCACAGAAGTGGCAGTTCAGAAGGGGAGGAGGTGGGTTGGGCCATAAATGGAGGTATGGCTGCTGGTGCTCTGCTCTCAGCAAAAAGGAGGGTTTGGTTTGTAGACAGAGGTGGTGATGAAGACA